TGCTGAGCAGTATGTTTAGCCAAGTAGTCATTAATTTTACCCATTTTCTTTGGAGAAATGTCTAAGTCCCCCCACTCTTTTTCTGTATTACTGAGGATCCACCCCTAGGTCTTGTTCATTTAATCATGCTATACTTCCACCTGTCCTTTGTACGTTTTTAAGTTGGGCTTTCTTTTTTAGAAACAGGGTCTTGCTATGCAATTCAGGCTGGCCTTGAGCTCACTTTGTAGCCCAGGCTAGTCTAAACTTGCAACAATCCTCCTGCCTCAGCCTCCTGAGTGCTGGAATTGTAGGCATGCGCCACCACGCCCGGCTTTGGGTTTTCATCTTCTTTTGAGTTGGTTTTTGAGGCTCTTTTGGCACTTAGCAATGTAAGATGCTTGTGTATGATGGGGAAGGCCCTCAGATACTTTGACTAAGAACCTGTTGTTGGGTGACTTTTGTGATTAAGAAAAGCATACCATTGTCACATTTCAAATGGTGTGGAAAGTAAAAAAGTCAAGGACCATCGTAGCACTGCTAGAGTTAGGGCATTGAATAAAATACTGGACCTTTTTAGTGTCATCAATATTGGAGCATCACTGATAACTGTAACCAATGGTACGAGAGACAGAGACCAGCCTGAATTCAATTCCCAGCACACACACACACCCCAAAAAAGTGGAGGTGGAGAGAGTAGCGTGCACAAAGCCCTGGTTTTAATCCTCAGTGTGTGGGGGATTAGCAGGGCGAGGACTGAATGAGCCTTGGGACTGATCTCTATCCCCAGCCGTTTATTTTTTTTAAATTTTGAGACAGTTTTGCTACATCCTTATGTTGTCCAGGCTGGGCTTGAACTTGCTTTCAGACCTTGGCCTCCTAAAGTGCTGTGATAACAGGCCTGTACCACTTCACTTAGCAACTTTTTATTTTGAGACTTGGTCTCTCCAAGTTTCCCAGGCTGGCCTTGAGCTTTCTCTTACCTCAGCCTCCCAAATGCTGGGATTACAGATATGTGCCATTATACCTGCTTTATAGTCCGTAAATTGATCAGTTTCAACACTGGGGTTATGGGAGTTAGAGCTGACTGGAAGAATTTTCTAAATTTTTTGGAGCTAGTTTTTCATTACTTTCATCAGTATTTTATTTTGTAATTTTTTGGTATTGAGAATCTAACTCGGGACCTTATGCTTGCCAGGCAGGTGCTGTGCCAGTGAAGTATATCCCCTGCCCAGCATTTCAATCTAAATCCGTAACAGTAAGAATCCATAAGTTGGTACATGCGCAAGGGGATTTGTGTTAGGAAAATTTCTCCTAGAGGGCCAGTGCTTTCTCACAGCACACAGGGCCTTATCAAACAGTGCTGAGTTCTTTTACTGTCATGCCTAGGGATAAAATATTGACAAGATAGACTGCAGAAGGTGCTGAGCACTAAGAAACAAACTTTATGTACCTCACCCCCTCATCTTCCAAGCTGACTAGCTGAAGATTTGCCTGGTTCTGCCCACAGTAGCTACAGTTTATATCCTTTTCATACTCAGTGTAGATGCACATCTCTGTAACTGCTGTCTGAAAAGGGACAGAACCTTATGTGCTTCCCTCTCTCCACCAGATGAATCTTAGTTCTAGTTGTTCATGAGGCAAATCTGCTGAGACTTCAGTTTGGTGAGGAAGTTCATCCATCTGGGGAAGAGTTGGCAATCATCAAGCTGCCATGCAGGCTGTTGTCTTTGAATCTGCCTACTTCCTGACACCTAACCTGAAATTATTTCTTTAATTGAGCCCCATTAACAGGCAATAAAAATAGAGTACCATTTACTAACCATTTTCATGGACTTTTTTCTATTCCTGTTAACTGACCTTTTTCTTCCATTGCTAGAAAGTTTTGTCAGCATTCCATCTTCCTTCCCCAAACTGTCAAAAATGATAAAGGGTCTGAGATTTTATGCAAATTAACTTAAAGGTTAATTTACTATAATTTCATGGATTTTGTAGGAAGACGTGAAAGTCCTGGCTCAGAGACAAAGGATATCATCATGCATGGCAGTTGCAGCAGCCAGAGTGCCTGTTTCCACAGGGTATGACAGAGAGAGCCAGGAGAGGCCTGCACACAAAGTTGGATTCCCAGTTTAGGGGAGGACAGGATCTTTTATAATGGGCAGTAAACCTTTCTGACCTTTGCCCTGGAGGCTTACATTATCTTTATTATACTGGACAGTAAATAAACCTTTTGTTTTCCAAGGAGACATAGTTTTCTAAGGTTTTCCTTACTGTGCAAACTTCTAGAACAAAACATTAGTACATTTCCCTACAAGATGCACAGAAGGATAGACTTGAGTCATCTGTAGGAAAATGGATGCATCTTGAGACTATAATGTTAACTGAGGTGAATCAGATACACAAGCTTAAATATTGCATTGTTTCTTTTGTATAAGAAACCCAGAACAAAAATAAAGAGCAAAATAAAAGATAAAGGAAGCAGAGAGATAGATCACTTGGAGAAGAAAGGAGTCAAGAGATGAAGGGACGGGTAGGGAGGGAAGGGATGAAAAAAGGATTTGAACTGTTTTATGTACATGTACCAACTCCATACAAGTAATATAAACATTATGTGCTGCAAACATACAAAAAAGGGGGGTCAAGGGACAGGTGGAAAGGGAAGGAGGGAAGGAAGAGAGATGAAAAGAGGAATTAAGATGTGTTATGTACATGTATCAACTTCCCACAAGGAACGTAAACATAGTGTACTACACACATGTACTAGTAAACTAAAACAAAAAAGATGTACAGAAGTGCTTGATATCCATGGAGAGGTTGCTTTCTTTCACCTTGTTTTGGCATTGGATAGTATTTTTGATTACAGCTTCTTTCCTCATTAATTAAAAATTTCATTGATAACAGAGGGGTTTTTTTGGGGGTTGGTTCTAGGCTTTGATCCAGGGCCTTGTTGCATGCTAAGCCTGTGCCTAGCCCAAATAGTATCTTAATAGATTTGTTTCATGTTCAGCATTAAACCTGTTCTCCCCTCACAATACTACTTTTTTCCTGCTTCATTTCAGTTCACAATTGTGGCGTTTTCTCACCTAGTTGGCCATAATTGCCTCTAACTGATTTTATTTCTTGTAATCTTGTTCTTTCACTCCTCAACACTGTCAGAGTGGGGCTGGGGATTTAGCTCAGTGGCAAAGTGCCTGCCTGACAAGCGCAAGGTCGTGAGTTCGGTTCCCGGTACTGGAGAAAAACCAAAAAAAAAAAAAAAAAAAAAAAAAAAACCACTGTCAGAGTGATTTTTAAAAATGCAGACATGATGTACTCAATTTAATTTTGTCATTGGTTCCCCATTATTAGTAGGACAGAGTGTCAGTTGTTTAGCAGTTGTGTGATTGTTTTTTTATCTGCTTTACCTTGTATTTTTTCTGTTATCTGCTTTTAAAAATCTTTTTAATTAATTGAGCTTATTGGTACATTTTATTTTTTTACTTTATCGGTACAGTTTAGGTGTACATAATGATCACATTCATCACAGGGAAAATTTGTACCTGTACATGATATATCTTGATTCTCTTTTTTTCCCATTCTCCTCTCCTCTTTTCAAGCCCTTTTCTCCTTATTTACAAAAACTTTGTTTCCATTTTTTTCTTCTTTCCTTATTTTTTCTTTTGCCTTCTTCCTCCCTGCCCCCCATTTCCCTTTCCAGGTTATTTCTCATATGGTGACTCTGCTACCTAGATTTCAAATATTGATAAAAAAGTTAAAATATTTTAAAGTTTATCATGATCATGATCAATCATCATTATTATCTTTATGATTACCTTGCAGTCCTGGGCATAGAACTCAGGTCCTCACACATGTTAAGAAAGTGTTCTACCACTGAACATCTCTAGCCCCTCAAAAATACTTTTTTTAAAAAAATTGGAGGCCATTATATCAGACAGATGTGTAGGCTGCTTGCTGATAGGTATAAACTTTGCTTTTACCATTTTTCTCTTAGGTCTTTGATTGCACTATTAGGGTTCTTTTCTGCCTTTAATAAATTGCACATTTTTCTCTTACATGTATATCATATAAACGTGTATCCTCCATAGGCTTTTTTTTTTTTTTTTCCGGTATCAGAAATCGAACTCACAAGCTTGCGCTTGCCAGGCAGGCGCTGTGCCGCTGAGCTAAATCCCCAGCCCCCTCCATAGGCCTTTAAGTGAACCTGCTGTGGACACCATCATAGCAATTTCTTTTTTTTCTTTTCTTTTTTTTTTTTTTCCCCTGGTACCGGGAATTGAACTAACGACCTTGCACTTGCCAGGCAGGTGCTGTGCCACTGAGCTAAATCCCCAGCCCCTATCATAGTAATTTCTAATATCTGTGCATGTGTCATTATAGCACTTTCTTCATTGTGTGTGTGTTTTGTTTGGTTTGGTTTTGTTTTTGTCTTTTTGAGACAGGATCTCGTTATGCAGTTCAGACTGGCCTTGAGCTCACTTTGTAGCCCAAGCTGGTCTCAAACTCACAATGATCCTCCTGCCTCAGCTCCCAAGTGCTGAGGTTACAGGTGTGTGCCATCATTCCTGTCTTTTCATCAAGCTTTAATTACTGATTGTTTTTCAGATCTACATCCCCACTAAATAAAGTGCAGGCAATTAAGAACAAGACTCCTCTTTCTTTCCACGTACTTAGAGTCTGTAAGAAGCACACTGCTTATCCAACCGTTGCTTTAGAATCAAATCTATTAAATGAGCTGGTGTTTTAATGCTCTTTTAAGTCCTCCCTGCTTTGAGCTTTGAGGAAATTAATTAGCTTAATTTCGAAGGGAAAGATACATATTCATTGGAAAGTAGTACAGCCTCATGGTCTAGCCCAGTGATGGCAAACCTTTTAGAGCTTTCAGTGCTACAAATAATCTACAGAAGCACACATGCCATAGGTTCAGCACCACTGGGCTAACCTATAATATATATATGGTCATCTTACATACTATTTACTATACCAAATAATATTTTCTTGCTTTCTTCATATTTAAAATGCAGACTGTGGATATTCATAAAGAGAAGGTGGCTCGAAGAGAAATAGGTATTTTGACAACAAATAAGAACACATCAAGAACTCACAAAATAATAGCACCTGCAAATATGGAGCGCCCTGTAAGGTATATTCGGAAACCTATTGACTACACAGTTCTGGATGATGTAGGCCATGGTGTCAAGGTAAGCATTTTATATTACATTAACTAATTTTCATACTGAGTAAACATTTTGGATAGGAAATACGGTTATCCAGATAGTTTTCTCAGTTGGTACATTCTCTTCAGCTAATAACTAGGATAAACATTTTAACACAATATCTAATATGTGTTACTAAGGTTGGCATGGAATTTTACCTTTGAAGTCAGTTTCTTCAAAAAGATAACTAAAACTTGAAAAAACTACCCATTAAACATGCTGTTTGAATTTTAGACTGTTACTATAAATTTGTGCTATGAATGCCATGTCTTTCTTTTGCTACTGAATAAATATTTAAAGATTACATGCTTTCTAAAGTTGGTTTAAAAAATAAATTATACTCTTCCTTATTTTTAGTGTGTATACATATCTGTGTGTTTGTGTGTATGGGGCTATAATTCCAGCAACTTGTAAAAAGTAAACAAGTTGAATAAATTTTGAATTATATGAATTTATATGAATTATATGAATTTTTTTCTATGTACTCCCCTACCCCTCTAACAAAAATAGAAAAAGCCACATCAGGCTTTAGAAGACAGAGTATTTGTTGCCCCTGACTAAGCTTGGCACAGTTAACTAATCCTGGAGGATACCTGTAGTCTGTCAGTTCTTTGTTATTCATGTATTATTTTGCAAGCATCTAGAATGACATAAATTCTTGTTTTTTTTTGTTTTTGTTTTTTTTTTCTTTTTTTGGTCTTTTTGAGATAGAGTCTTGCTATGCAGTTCAGGCTGGTCTTGAACTCACAGCAATTCTCTGTTTTCTTGCCTCAGCCTCCTGAGTGCTGGAATTACAGACGTGTGATACCATGCCCAGCTCTAGAATGACATAAATTCTTAGGCCTTTGCTGAAGATAAACTGTTTCTCTGAAACTTGGTGATTTCTTTCCTAGAAAATTACTTGCTTTTGTTTCTCTTCTTAAGAATATTTTATAATAATTTTTAAAGAGCCAGCTAAAAGTTCAAAGCTTTCCCACCTTGTTGATCCGATGAGTGCGGTTTCTAGATTTTGACATTCTAAATTTTCTGGTGTTCCTGGTTGGGGAGGAGGGTAGCCAACACCCTCTTTTTTTTTCTTCTCTTCTCTATACTTTTGGATTCTCCCCTTCACTTTCATGCTTGGGAATTACATGTAAAGTTGAAATACTTCACAGATGTAGAGACTACTACTTATTTCTTGTGTTTTTATCCAGGGTTGTGACTAGGGCTGTGTAAAAGCCTAAATTCAACTATCATTTATTTTAGACTAGATCGATAAAGTTTGAACTTTTTGTTTTTGGAACTGGAAATCGAACTCAGGACCTCACGCTTGCCAGGAAGGTGCTGCACCCTTGAGCTAAATCCTTGGCCCTAGGGTTTGAATTTTGAGAAGGAAAAACTAACTTCTTTTATATTATTAATGACTTGAGGATTAAACACTCACACACATATACACACATACACTCATTTTTACTTTGTCTTGATTTTTCTTATTAAACAATACATATTTATTTAAACTCTGCCTTTATCTTAGAAATGAATATTCTCCATTGTCTCATTCCTCCACTAAGAATTGTAAGTAATAGTTTAAAATAGAGTACCTAATGGGCTATTACATGATTACAGTTCTAAAAGGAAGTTGTGTGTGAGGAAATTTGTCATGTACGTATAGGTGGGAAGTGTAGACAGATCATAATATATGTCGAAACTATGGGTATAAATCTTGGTCATTTTCTTTGTAATCATAGTACATATACATATACATGTAATCATAATACATAAGACATGGACTTTTTGATTTTGTTTTTCAATGGTTTTCGTACTAAGATTTACATAACAAAATTTATCACTAACTGTTAAGTATACCATTCTGTTACTGTACATACATTCACATTGTTGTCTCATTTTAAAACATATTTTTGGGTAAGGATAGAATGGGTAGTCTGTGAGAACAGTGTACTTTAAAAGCTGAAATGTGGCATATTTGTCCATATTTTATTTCTGTTATATGCAAAAATGCATGCATACAAACACAGTGTTGCAATTATTTCCCCCAGTAGTTATTTTACTGTTTTGTTTCCCTAGTTTTATGGCTTTTATATAGTTGTCTTAAATGGTTCTGCAGGAATTTTGAGGTATGTGAAATTAAGAAATTCAGTAGTAGTTAATAAATTCCAGGACCAAAATTGTGAGAAGGAACAGTTTAAATTTATTTTAAAATTAATGTTCTAAGTTTAGGAAGGTACTCTTCACTCTAGAATTATTTTCTTATCCTTTTTCCACTTTGGTATTTAGAAACTTGCTTTTTTATTGATTTGTTAGTGAAATTTACCCCTCATATTGGCAAATATTATTTCCTCATATTACCATTTGACTTTTAACTTTAATGTTTTGGTATTTTTTTCAGATTGTGTACAGAATTTTAAATATTGTATTTAAATACATTAATATTCATAACAGCTTCCAGGTAGTATACTTGAGGTTTCATATTCCAAGATTAATATTCTATCATATTTCATTTTGTGATATATATTTTGGCATTTTGGTGTTTATATTTGATATACTTGGGCTTTATTTAAATAGTATTTACTTTGTTAATACATTTTATGCCATGAAATAAATGAGACACATAAATTTACTAGGAATTTAAAATAAAAGTACCCTGCCAGGCATAGTGGCACATACCTGTAATCCCAGATACTCTGGAGGGTGAGGTAGGAAGATTGCAAGTCCAGCTTGGAAAATGTAGGTATTTAGCAAGACCTGAGACTGTTTCAAAATTTAAAGAACTTGAAAAGGGTTGTGGATATTGATCAGTGTGGAAGCACTGAATTTGTTTAATCCCAAGTAATGCAAAACAACAAAGGAAAACAAGACCTGGGATAAGTTTGGCTTGTTTTTAGGAGCAATGTAAGATACGGATGAGGGAAGCACTGTATAGAGAAGCTACTAGAACATGTACCTGCTTGAGGAGAATGAAAAGAAGAGGACCTATGTAAGTGAGCACAAAGTTTCAGAGTAAGCTGGAGTAGTGAAAGTTTGAATGCTTAACAGGGGAGTTTAAATTTATTTTTGACAAACATAATAATGAACATATTTATTGCCTGGTTCATAAAAAACGAGTCCTGGACTTTCTCTGTATGTTAGTTTTTGTTTATTTGCTTGTTCTTAGGTTCTTAGGTTCCTTAGGTTCCTAAATTCGTGTGGTAGGGTAGCTGTTACATTTTTGTTAGTGGTGGTAAAATATAAACTCAGGAAAATTATAATTTTAGAGTTTATTTGAGCAGACAGTGATTCATGAATTGGGTACAGTACCTTTATACTACATGGGGCAGGAAAGTTTAAGGAAGCAAGACAAAGTATTTGGTCAGGAGTCTACTGGTTCTTTTAGATTGCTAGTCTCTAGAGGTTGTTTGGTAGTTTCTGGTTAACCTAGTCTGAGTTGGGTTTTAGCAGACTTATTAGAAACCCAGCTATCTCAGTCTGATTGCCTCCCAGTTGATTTTTTTTTCTTAACAGTACAGATACTAAAGCTTTATGTTGTTTACATAAAGATGTTATTTAAAAAGTTTTAATTTTATTAAGCTGGTGAGTGTGCTAATCAGTCATTCCAAAGATAGAAATGGCCTTACAGACATTTAGTATCTATGGTATATAAAACTGTTTTGTACCTAGGGATAGAAAATAGAGAGGAGTCAAAGAGAATTATTGTTTTTAATCTAAACTTCCAATCTAAATGGTAAAATTACTCATCCACAACTGTAAATTTTAAGAAAATGAGGTGAGATCTTAAAGAAATGGAAAATAATCTTATTTCTAATATGTTTTTATTTATTTTTGTTTTTCTTGCTTATGTAGTTCAGACTGGCTAAAGTTAAACTGTGTAGTCCCGACTAGCCTTGAATTTGTGGCAATCCTCTTGCCTCATCCTCTGGCATGCTGAGATTACAGGCATGTGACACCACTCCTGATTTACATAAACATTTAACCCACACTATTGTAAGTTGTTCACAGTTACAATATTTTGAGTTGTTAGGTGTAGGTAGTATTTCCTACAACACTGCCAACCTCAACACATCTGCACACATAAACATACTTAATACAGGGGCTGGGGATTTAGCTTAGCGGCACAGCGCCTGCCTGGTAAGCGCAAGGTCGTGAGTTCGATTCCTGGTACCGGAAAAAAAACAAAACAAAACAAAACAAAAACAAAAACACCCCAGCCAAACATACTTACTACAGGTATTTAACCACAAAAGGTTAAAGGTTACATAATTTCAGAGTGGCAGAGTGCAACTAGATTTCATTCCCAACCTAATTCTTTTATTCTTTAATTTGATACCTGCTTATACACAAATACAAAATTTGGGGGGGAATTTACTTGTTTACTTGAAACAAATGAGGAAGATATGTGAACATGTTTAAGATTTTTCTGGAGTTATTCTAGGGTATATTTAATGTATTGTGATTCATATGTAAAACAAGATGTATATCAGTATATTCATATACTATGATACATATAATAAGATACATAAAATCTCATTGTTAGGGATCTTATTCAAATTTAGTTTCCTAAATTAAAGTGTGAAATGAAGTGGTCAAGCAAGTTTCCAGGTGTAAAAATGAACAAATATTAAAGGATATCATGTTTCTGGTGCAGTTTGTATAAGTAAGAATGTATCCAAGAGAAAGCATATTCCACTGTTGGATGGTTTCCTTTAATGTTGCTTTTATGGTCATCTGAAAAATGGTAGATATTTAGTGAGAATGGCAGATGTAGAAAACCTGAGACTTAAAAATTAAGGCTCTAGAAACTAAAGATTTCCTTCTTCTTTTCTCTTTTTCTTTCTTTCTGTCCTTTTTCCCCTTCTCCCTCCCTCCTTTCCCCTCCCTTCCTCCTTCCTTTTTTTCCTTCCCTCTCTCTTCTCCCTCCTTCTCCACCTCCCTCCTTCCTCTCCCTCCCCTTCTTTCTGTTGAGCATGATCTCCCTAAGTTGCCCAGGCTGGCCTCATACTTGGTGATCTTTCTGCCTCAGCCTCGTAGAGTGCTAGAATTACAGGCATGTGCAACTATACCCTACTGAAGGTATTTTTCTCAGTGGCATAGAATTATGCAGTGATGCTTTAGGTTAGGATTCTGTACACTTTTTCATGTACATAGGCTAGTCCTCTTTCACAGAAGCTAGCCTTTTGGGTCAAAAAACTTTTTTTTGTCCTTTTGTTTTTCAGGCAGCATCTCATACTAAGTTCAGGAAGGCCTCCAACTCAGTACGTAGTTAAACCAGGCTGGCCTTGAATTCACAGTACTCCTGCCTTAGCCTGTGGAGTACTGATACAGGCATGCACCACCTTACCTATCTCAAAGAGCTTTTCTTTAATTTCGAATTCTGACTATACTGGTTCTCAAGATAACTTGGAACTAAAGCAGCCTATAACTTCTATTAGTGTCGGCCTACTCAGAATTTTGATTCATAAACTACAAATGAGATTTTTCCATACCCTCTTTAGCTTATCTATGGATGATGATTTTACTTTTAAATACTGTGTGCCTAGGTCCTTTTCTGAATTTGAAAGCACCCTGTTACTTTGAACTTTAACATTTGAAGCTTATCACTTTTTATATTACTATGCTACCATTCAAGTAATGAGTAGTCATAGCTGGGAATTATCCAGTAAAGTCTTACGTTTTGTGTACTGATAGTTAAATATATCTAATGTGTTACTGTGTTTAAATCAAGGTAGGGTTCTGTGTGTGTGTGTGTGTGTGTGTGTGTGTGTGTGTGTGTGTGTGTGTATGTGAGATCATCTGTGACCCAGAGCGGTTTCATTTGTAGGATAAAATACTGGCCAAGGAAATTAATGTACCTGCTTGAGATGTACATAATTAGGTGGTGGTTTTCTTATGCATGTTTCTTTTAAAACTATGTGAGACACATGAATATTTCCTAATACTTAGGGATATATTTTTCTTTTCAAAATACTTCAAATGTGGCTGGATAAAAACTTATTAACACAAATTGAATAACTGTAAATATAAACCTGTCCTATCGGATACAACTTACCTAGAATTAATTTCTACTTCCCCCCCCCTTTTTTTTTTTTGCCAACATAAAGTGGCTAAAAGCCAAGGTAAGAGAATTTACTTATTTGATCCACAGTATTTCCTCTATATTAATAGAGGCTGCAGAGCCACTAAAATTTGAAAGCTCTTTTTATGTCTGTCTGCTTTTCCCTGTCGGGTTTATATAGATTAAGTATACTCAAACTCAGTTCAAATCAGCAACATTTAGGTTGTCTGTGTTAATATATCAAAGATATATGGACATTTGCATTTATATAGGAACATTAATTTTGCTAACATTTATTGCTTTGCTTATTTTTTGTTAGTTGCCTTGCTTTCTTTAACTTACAATTAGGAGGTTTCCCAGACTTCATATGTCACTTTGTTACTGAATTGTTAAGATAAAGATGACTTTTTCAAGTGTGTATTTTACCTAGTTAATAGTGAAATCTGTAGCTTTTGTATCTCAGAAATTTAAGAAACCTAATACTTGAGTGAAAAAAAGTTTGATCTCAGTGAACATGTTTACAGTAAAATAATATGTAAAATCTAATAATCTTACCTGTACTTTGCCATAAATTGATAAGAATGGCACAGTGTAATAGGAAAATCTGAGGGCCGGTGGTTGCTTCACATTTTAAAATGTAGTATTAGAGTCTTATTAAACCTGTCTGGGAATCCTTACTTCACATTCTCATATTAAAAAAAAATAATACATGGCGTTAAAATATCAAGAGAACAATTTGATATAAAAATATAAGCTTTTCTTTCCACATTTTAGCATGGAAATAACCAGCCTGCAAGAACTGGCACACTGTCGAGAACAAATCCTCCTACTCAGAAACCACCAAGCCCTCCCATGTCAGGCCGGGGAACACTGGGGTAAGAATTCCTATGCTAACAGAAATCTCTTTGACTTAAGTAAATGTATGGATCCTGTCCTGAGACCCCTGGTGTGTGATACTACCTTTTATACATAGATTTTGGGTTTTATTTTCCTGAGCAGAATCCAAGATGAATGTACTTGTAGTAGTCCCTATAGACATCTGTATTAGAAAGGTTCTTTTTTATACCTGTAAATGAACATCTTTTATTTCTTTTTCTTTCTCTCTCTCTTTTTTTTTTTTTAAAACAAGGTCTTGCTGTCCAGTTCGGGCTGGCCTTTAATTCACTGTGTAGCCCGGGCTGGCCTTGAACTCATGGGAATCCTCCTGCCTCCACCTCCCAAGTGCTGGAATGACAGGCTTGCACCACCACACCTGGCTCTGTTTTTTTTTGTTTTTTGTCGAATACAATTCTAACTTAAAGTTATTCTAAGTAGAACAGTGATTGAGTGTTCTTTCACATGTGTATGATGCCTTTGCCTATATTTAGCAATGTTTATACTGCAGAACTTTGGATAAGTGGTCTACTTTGTGTAGTTTGGTTAGTATTCTGCAGCCCTTTGTCTTGTTAAGTAGCACCAGAGACCTGGAATTCTCCTAACTGTGCATCCATTGGTAATCTTAGGCTCCTTTCATACTAGAATAGCTTTATGAGAAGGCCGATTAGAGAAGTAGGAAGGGTATTATTGGTGGCTTTCTCCTTCCCATTTTCAAATATATAGAATACTTGCCAAGATATTTCTGAATGATTATTCATTATAACACAAAAACTATATTAGATTTTTTGTTTTGGGGAAAGCTGATTTCAACAATCAACTTTTTAAGAGGATTTAATTTTTGTTTTCATCTTTAAACTCCTGCCTCTGAAAAGAAAAAGACATTATTACACAGGAAAGTGAAAATCACATGCTGGGACATTACTAACATTACTTCTAGAATCAGAACGTACTTCTCCATGTATTTCCATATTAAAGTTGAAATAAATTGCAAAGGAGATATGTAGCTTCCCGTGTAAAGGACTGTGGCTTGTGGTGAATGAACTGGGAATAAAGTACATTTCAAAGTTTTATATTATTGAGCATTAAAAAATTATAACTATTTTTAAAAATAAGGTTAGAATTTTTTCAATCACCCTTTCCTTATTTTTCCTAAGAAAAGGTAGCACATTTTGTGTTAAAAATAATGAGTCATACATTTCAATTAGGAATCTCTTAAAAAAATTCTAAACCATATTAAAATAAAAATTGCTTCTATATTTAATCTCAAAAGAATAATCACAAATTGGGGGGGAAACACTGTTTTATCTTTTTTATTCACTACCCTTCTCTCTATTGTTCTTCGTTAGGCGGAATACTCCTTATAAAACCTTGGAGCCTGTTAAACCCCCAACAGTTCCTAATGATTACATGACCAGTCCTGCAAGGCTTGGAAGTCAGCACAGTCCAGGCAGGACAGCATCTTTAAATCAGAGACCAAGGACACACAGGTAAATCTTCAGGGTGAACATCTGAATAGTTGAGTGTTAGTGGTTCATGACAAACTCCTATAAAAGGTGTTGCATGCATAACGATGAAGTACTACTCTAATGCCAGTATTGAATGTAAAATTTGAGAGTAATAACATTTATGCACCTATAAATTTATTATACTTTCTGTTATTTAGACTTTGTGCTATTTACACTGTTAACAGATTAATATTTTCTTCTTTTGACAGGGATATGCATATCTATTTGGATTCATGCTAAAGAATATTTTTAAATGGTCTTTCAGAAAGGCACAAAGTGGGGCTGTGCAGCGTTGCTCAGTGGTGGATTATCTGCTTAGCATGCACAAGTCTCTGGGTTCAGCATTTCCCCTTTAGTAAAGCCAAGACAACTGCTGTTAAATGTTTTGGGGCAAAAGGTTAAATACCATGGAAGTCATACAGCATGATTTAAACTTAGGAGGCTGAAGAAAAGATTTAACTTTTTTTTTTCCCCCTTATTTTTATTATTCAACCTAGTTTCCTTTGGTTGCCTTGTGTCTGCATAGCTTCAATTTAGCTTATTTCTGAGGAAGAAGGTCTTTAGAGAGTTAATATATTAAGAGTGTGTGATTGGGGCTGGGGATTTAGCTCAGCGGCACAGCGCCTGCCTGGCAAGCGCAAAGTCATGAGTTCCGGTACCGGGGAGCGGGGAAGAGTGTGTGATTATATTATTATAAACATACAAGGACTCAACTGTTCATTGCACTTTTAGAAATTTAGTTATAGAGTACAGCACTCAGACAAGTATCAAGTTTCATAGATTGATTGAACTGTTACATAACTATCACCTCAATCAGAACATAGAGAATTACCAACAGCCCAGGAGTCTGCCCCTTGCTCTTTTCCAATTATTGCCTCAGTTTTCTTCACTATAAAAGTAGCCACTTTGAGTGCTTTCATAACACCAGATTTATTATGTAATCATATTTGTTTTTATTTTCATCTTATTTCTCGTTAACTTGGGCAAAGAGCTTTTTTTGACTTGACTTTTATGTTGGCAAATTAAAGCAAACTTACCAAAATTATTTTTGGTAATTCAACTAAATAGGGCATATCTGGGCCGGGGATAGAGCTCAGTGGCACAAGCACCTGCTTGGCAAGTGCAAGGGCCTGAGTTCGACTCCTGGTACAAAAAAAAAAGGTCAATAGGGCATATCAAACCATTAGATTCTAAGTAATTGCTATTTGTTATTACGGCTATTGTTTTTAAATATTGATGTAGTGTTACCTGCAGGTACTGGTACTGTATCAGGTCAAGTTCAGGGTGGACCAAAATTATTTTCTTTTTATATTTGTTGTTATTGAATTACCAAAAAAGAATCAAAATATGGTGACCACCCCCCTTGGTGGGTGCTGAGACTTGAACTCAGGGCCTCATACCTGCCAGGCAGGTGCTGCGCTGCTGAGCTACATTCACAGCTCCCTGGTTTTCCCCTCTTGTAGAAATAGTTTAATTATTAATATTAGCTTAATAAGATTTAATCATATTAATAACCAGTTATTAAGTTACTTCATTAGATATCAGGTACATAGCAGGAAGGGATAGTTGTTGGGTTTTTTCCCAGAGCTCATTCTGTTAGAACAGGGGTCCACAAACTTTTTCTAGAGATTGTCAGTATTTTAGGATTTGCAGGCCACGTGGTCTGTTGGATTTACTCAGTTTTGTCGTTACAGCACAAAACCAGCTATAGACAATATGTAAATGAATAAGCATGGCTACATTCCAGTGAAATTTTATTTATGGCAGTGAAATTTGAATTTCATAAAATTTTAATGTGTTGCAAAATATTCCTCTTGATCCCCCCCCCAACTATTTGAATATGTAAAACATGTTCTTAGCTCATAAGCAGTTATCAGGCAGTGGGCCAGTGTTAGCCCATGTGCCATAATTTGCCAACCCTTCAGTTAGAAAAAGGGATTTAAACCAATAGTTTTAGAAGAGCACAATAAATGCAGAAATATTCATTTGTCTATGGTGGCACAAAGCTGAGTATTGATTACCTGGCTGGACATTAGGGAGGATTTAACATTTAGGCTGTTTTGTCATATCAATGGCTTTTTCCCCCTCCATTAATATGTGATAATATATAATCTATATAGATCGATCATATTGGAGGAGGAAATAAAAACCTTATCCAGGCAATGGAAAACTTTTTTCATGTATTTTGTTAGTGATACTAATTTTATAAAATACTTGGTTTCAATGTGGTATTTTCGTACAACCATATAACAATTTTTGGTCATATACTCTCTTTTGTATTTTATTCCCCTTAAACCCATCCTCTTGTCTGATAATATGATAGTCTGCCTTAACTCTGTCATGTAACTTTCCCCAAAGATTCTATATGTTGGGGGAAACATGTGATACTTGTCTGAGTGTGGCTTCTTTCATTTAGCACAATGATATGTGCCATTAATTTTCTTGCTGGTGACATAATTTTGTTACTATTTATACCTGCATTAAAACTCCATTGTGCACAAATACTACATTTTCTTTATCCATTTATCCATCGATTCACACCTAGGATGGTTATATATCTTGCTGTTGTGAATTGTGTTACATTAAATATGGGTGTAAGTATGCTTACAGTATGCTGACTGCAGTATCTTCGGGTGTCTACCAAGAAGTGGTAACAGATGGGTCAAACAGTAGCTCTGTTTTCAGTGTTTTGAGGAAACTCCATCCTGATTTCTGTAGGGGGCTGTGCTGTTCCTTTCCCACCAGCAGTGCAGAAGGGTTCCTTTTTCGCTCACTTCCTCACCAGCATTCATTACTTTTTGTATTTTTTATGGCAGCCACTCTAACTGTGGTGAGATGGAATCTCAGTATAGTTTTGGTTTGTGTTTTTTTTGATGGTAAAGATGTTAAATACCTGTTCATATACTTATCAGCCATTTGTACTTCTTTGGGAAGTATTCCTTCAGTTCATTTGCTCATTTTATTGAGTGGACAATTTGGTTTTTCAGTGTTAAGATTTTTGAGTACTTTATTCTAGATATTAATCTACTGTGTGAAGAGTAGCTGGGAAGATTTTCTCCAATTTTTATGGGCTGTCTTTTCTCTCTTGTTGATTGTTTCCTTTGCTGTGCTGAAGCCATTCATAGTGCCATTTTTTAATTCTTGCTATTATTTCCTGTGCTATTGGAGTCCTATTCAGGAAGTCTTTCCTTTTGCCTATAATTTCAAGTGTTTTTCCTGTTTTCTTTTTGCAGTTGCAGAGTTTCAGGTCTTTATACCCAGATCTTTAATGCATTCATCCATTTTGAATGGCTTTTTTTATTTTATGAAGAAAAAAATTTTTATAACAAAATATAAGTGAATAATAATAGTTAATACACCTTATTATCTTCAAATTAGTTACTCAGAATACAGGACAGACAAAAAAGATTGTCATTTGCAAAGAAGAAACAAACAAGTAATAGCACAAAACTTTGTTTTCAATGAACTAAGAGAAACTAGGAGTAAAAATGAAACCAATTAAGAATGGAATAGATAATTTGGGGAATTCTTTGAGCTCCCTACTTTCTATTTATGTATCTTTTTTCCTCTTTATTTGTATATCTGTTTTGAGTTTTTCATATAAGAGAAATCAAGCAATATTTAAGTGTGTATGCTTGACTTACTTGCTTAACATTATGTTCTCAAGTTACATCCATTGATGTATAAATGCCTCAAGCTTATCTTTGTGGCAGTGTAGTACTCCATTGTACACAAACACATTTTCTTTATCCATTCATCTTCTGGGTATGGTTATGTATCAGTAGTTTTAATTTGTATTTCTTTAATGGCCAGCAATGTTTTCAAATTAAATTCCCCAAAATAAGACAATAAAAAAATGGCTAACTCAAATGATGAATAGACACTTCTCAGAAATACAAATGGCCAATAAGTACCTAAAAAAAAAGTTGAACTGATTCTTGTCTAGGGTGAGAAATAGGGATCTAGTTTCAGTCATACTGATACTCAGTCTTCCCAGCACCAGTTGTTAAAGCTGCTTTCTTTTTTTAAACATGTTTTTGGCCTTTTTGTCCAGAATTAGATGACTCTAGTTGCATGGGTTTGTTTTTATGTCCTTTATTTATTCCATTGATATACATGTCTGTTTTGGGGCCAGTACCATGCTATTCTTGTTATATGGCTTTGTAGTATGTTTTGAAATCAGGTACTGTGATGCCTCCAGCACTATTCTTTTCACTTAGAATTACTTTGGCTATTCTAGGTCTTCCCATTTATCAAATGAATTTCAGGATTATTTTTTTCTAGTTCTGTGAAAAATGTTATTGGAACTCTGATGGAAGTTGCAATGGATCTATAGTTGCTTTTGGTAATATGGCCATTTTAACAGTATTAAGTTTGGCAATCCATGAACCTGGGAATGGTTTCCGTATTCTAGTGTATTCTTCAATTTCTTTCTTCAGTGTTCAGTAATTTGCATTATAGAGATCTTTCACTTCCTTTGTTAGGTTGATTCCTAGTTGTTTTGTTTATTTTTTTGAAGCTATTGTGAATGAAATTGTTTTCCTAATTTTTCTCAGCTAGTTCATTACCAATGTATAGAAAAGGTCTGTCTGCCTGCTTGCCTGCCTGCCTGCCTATCTATATCTATCTATCTATCTATCTGTCTGTCTACCTACCTACCTACCCACCCACCCACCCATCCATGCATCCATCCATCCATCCATCCACCCACCCACCTATCTATCTTTGAGACAAGGCCTCACTCTGTAGTTCAAGATGGTCTTGAACTCACTGTGCAACACAGGCTGTCCTGGAACTCACTGCAGTCCTCAGGCCTCAGCCTCCCAAGTGCGGGGATTGCGGGCATGCACCACCACACTGCACTCTGATGTTTTAAATGTTGATTTTGGATCTTGCTGCTTTGCTGAGTTTATCAGATCTAAAAGTCCTTAGGTGGAATCATTAGTATCTTTTAAATATAGGAGCATATCATCTGAAAATAAGGATAGTTTGTTTCCTTTATTTTTTTATTTATTATTTAATATTATTTATGCTTCCAGTTTTTCCTCATTCAGTACTATGTTGGCTATGAATTTGTCATACATAGCCGTTAGTATGTTGAGACATGATCATTTTTATTTTTAACCTTTTATTATATAGAAATAAATTCTTTGAGTTTATTTACCAAGGAGATATGATCTTTCTTTACGTAGTTTCTTCAGGACTTTCATTATGAAGGGATTGTTGAGTTTTGTCAAAACCTTTTCTGAAACAGTTGAGATCAATGTGTGATTTTTATTCCAATTCTATGTATAGGGCACTGCAAATCTCTGCCCTGTTGGGTTTGTGGGTTTATTGAACAAATGATGTTGATTTTAAAGTATGAGTTGGGTAAGGTGACCTCTGCTTGTAGTCTCAGCTACTTGAGAAGCTGAGGCAGAAGAATTGCTTGAGGCTATCGTAGGCAACAGCATAGTAAAACCTTGTCTCAAAAATAAGTAACAGTAACACAGAGTCTCTTTTTGCATGTGTATATGTATGGTTTCACAGTTTCCATTGGTGTTCATTAGTTACTAAAAACAATTGGATAGTACAAGACCTTAAACTTTACTAAAAACTAGAGTGCAAAATCTTACTGCTTAAAGGACATTACATCCATAAGAAGTAGAATAGCAGCTATTCCAGATCCCATGCTGAAGCTGTATTACTGTTTTTACTTTTGTTATGTTCATCTTTCCGGAGAATTTACCTGTTTTATTACCTTTTTTTGAAATGATTGTAATTTTTTTATATTAATTTCAACGGGCCGGGGATGTAGCTCAGCGGCATAAGCGCCTGCTTGGTAAGCGCGAGGTCCTGAGTTTGATTCCCGATACCAAAAATAAAAAAATATATATTAATTTGAGTCTAGGATTGGACACCCTTATTTACTTGGATCTTCTGTATTCTCTTTTGTAGTGTTCATCATGCTATTTTTAAGTCTGTTTTCTCATGCTTAGCTAAGTGTTCCCTGACAGTGTGGTTGATGTCTGTTCATTACTCTTCATAGCAAGTTGTAATTAAATGCTTGTCAGTTCACTATACTGTGAATTTTATTCACATATTTCTGGGATGGTTCTGAGTATTGTGATACTGTATTGGTTTCAGATGTTTACAAGTAATATGAAACAAAAGAGCCACTTCATGTATGAGGGTTAAGGCTTGTAATGAGTAATTTAAAAATTTCTATACACACACACATGCACACACACTCCTTGGAAGCAGTAGTTAGTAGCCTTGGGTTGATACATATAAGTTTTTAAAAAGCCTAACATTGCTTTTTTCACACATCTCGCCCTTACTTGCAGTGGAAGTAGTGGAGGAAGTGGGAGTCGAGAGAACAGTGGAAGCAGTAGCATTGGCATTCCTATTGCTGTGCCCACACCTTCCCCGCCCACTGTGGGACCAGGTATGTTATTTGTTAGTTCTGTTTAACACAGGGTCATACTTGTGAGCTTTATTATAAAAGGTGACAGAATTCAGTCATATTGGATAAAATTATTAAATTTGTGGGTGTGGTTAAAGGTTAATAACAAATTAAACAGTATTTTAGATTCATTATCACAGTGTCTTTTAGACTTTCTTAGCTCTTTTTCCTTACATACAGTACTTGTCAATAGCTTTGTGAAATAACTTTCTGGCCATTTTGCTTTAGGAATACTTGTCTTTATCAGGAGTCAAGAATGATATTTATTATGTCAAGAGCAGATCAGTGTTGTATGCTGTTATAGCCAAAGGATGAGTTTCTGTAAAGGTGAATTATGTTTGAGACAATTTCAACATTGCCTTGTAGGCTAGCATTTCAGTAATGGTGTTCGCTTGTTTTTTGAATTAACACTTACAGGATTGTAAGTGTTGTTGTTTTTTTGAATTAACACTTACGGGATTGTATTCAGTGAAATGCAGTGAACCAAAAATGAGATTCAAATAGGAAAAGTTCTTTTATTTTATATAATGTATACAAATTATGATATCTGTGGATAATATTAAATTAGCCCCTGATTTTTAATAAATGAAATGCTGATTTTTTTATAGCACTAAGATGTGTAGTTTAAAAGTAAAGTATGATAATGAAAACTGTTGGGAAAAAACTTTCAGTTCCTGAAGCATATTGTTGTAGGGGAAAAGGTTACTGATAAAAACAGACATTTTATGTCTGTTTATAATGGAGTTATAAGCTCAGTGGCCTTTTTACCTAGTAAAATCTTACTCATTTGAACGTGCTTTACATATGGGTGTCTTTTTCTTTTTTTCTTCTTTCCAACACATTGTATTTTCCTGCCGTTTCAGAATGCTTAGTTCTCTTTTCTTGCACTCTGACCTGAATTATAAACTATTTTATTAGAAAACATTTCTGTCCCTCCTCCTTCTGGAGCTCCACCAGCAGCACCTCTGCCACCGCTCCTCCCAGTGAGCACTGTGATAGGTGAGATCACATAACCATTGGAGCCCTTGAATTCATAATAGACTGCTTTGTAGCTAATAGACTGCTGGCTTTTATAGTTATTAGGTTGTCGATGATATTACAAAAATTAAAGTATTAATTTACACTAATTTCTTCTGGTGAAAGTCCTCTGAACTTATACAGTAAACAACTATAAAGTAACCGTTTCTATAATATGAAATGTTTCTTTGTGTGGCTTATAACTAACTAAATGTTTTTGCTTGTTTACTTAGATTTTTCTAGCAGTAAATATTGAAATTTTTTTAAAAAGCAATGTAGTACCCTCTCACCCATAGTGAAACTTGATCCGGAGTGCTCTGGTATATACAGCAGCTGAAGCACTGGGGGTGAAAGTAGGGGTAGGGGTGAAAGATAGGGAAATAATGTGTGGTGTGGGGCCTCTGATGCTTTCCTGTGGGTTACATTCTGAAAAACTGATACAGCCCAGTTTTATAACATTTAAGAATGCCAGGAAACATGTTTCTCCGTGAAACACATTTAAATTCTTTGCAAGTTGGGGAGGACACAACTGAGCACAGAAGTAGTTCCACATGTATAGCTGGTATGAAAACCATTCACCCTAGAAATAAACAGTAACAGTAATATGGATAGAAATGGATAATAAGGAAGTTTGAGAAGTGAGAGCGGAGTTTCAATTTAGGTGAAATAAAGCTGCCCAACAACAGTTTATCGAAGCATGTGTGTGTATATATATACATATAAAAAGGTAAAGGAGGTAATAAATGAAGATTACAGAAGTTGTTGATAGGAAGTTCATTTGAAAATACAATGCCTTCCACTTAATTAATAATCTGGAAAATTAAAGCCACAATGAAATACTGTTTCCTATCTACTTCATAGGTAAAAATGTAGAAGTACACACTTGCAATGTTGGTAAGGATGTGTGGTAACAGGAAAGCATACTGGGAATCTTTTAGTTGATAAATTCACTTTGCAAAATAATTTGTTGTCACCTAGTGAATATGTACCTAATGTACCTGTCCTAGGCTTATTAATTTCATTTTGAGATACGGTATTCACCTTAGAGCACTAGTTCTCACAGTATGGTTAAGGGAGTCCTAAAGTTTGCCAAACTTTCACAGAGTTTGGAGGTCAGAGCTATATTCATTATTTGTCTTTCTCATTCTCATTGATAGAAATGTACAATGGCATTTTCTAGAGGCTACAAGACATTGCTTTAATAGCTAATGGGATATGTACTTGTGTATTCATGTGTGGGAGTTCCAAAATGTTAACTGTTTGCTAACTCTCTTAATGAACAACTTCTGCTGTGTGGTTTTAATACTTTGGATGATCTCTATGACAACTGAGTGAATATAAACTAGGATGGTTTTTACTTAAGGAAGATAAGGTTGATCTCTTTTTTGGTACCTGGAATTGAACTCAGGACCCTGTGCTTGCCAGGCAAGCTGCGCCTCGAGCTATATCCCCGGCCCAGTGAAGTAATCTTGATGTTAACTTTAGAGGTTTTTAATTCTATCAACCTTTTAAATACTAAACTTTTAACTGTTGATAAAGGTGATGTTATACTTTGATCAGTTTAGATATTAAGTTATTTATATAAGCATTAATCTTGTTTTTTTTTTTTTTTTAAAGCAAATTGCTAGCTGGGCGGTGGCACACACCTGTAATCCCAGCACTTGTGAGGCTGAGGCAGGAGAATTGTTGCAAGTTCGAGGCTAGCTTGGGCTACAAAGTGAGCTCAAGGCCAGCCTGAACTGCATAGTGAGACCCTATCTCAAGAAAAAAAAAAAAAAAGCAAATTGCTTTTGGTATACTATAAAAAGCCTTGTAAGTAAGGAGGAAGAATAGGTTGTCTAAGCACAGTTGTGTAGGGAAATTATTTTATATGTAAGATTTTTTCCAATTTTGTCAGTTACCCCCCAAAAAGGGATCTTCACTATATAACATATGTAAATATCTTGAAACTAGAAAGTATATTTTGCTTTAAAATAATTTTACTGTAGTATGTATTAATACTATTTGTCAATGCAGTAAAAATTAAAATAGTACTATTAAATATGGAAAATAGGCTTAACAGTTTAAATTTTGTCACTTAACCTGGACTTAGCCAGACATACAGTATTTTAAATTAAAATGGAAGATTTTGGCAATGGAGAGGAAGAAGTTTTTAAAGTTTTTAAACCAGATATAAATACATTTACATGTAAAATCTTGGATTTTCCATCACACACTATGGTGTTTGCAGAGACAATTCACCTATAAAACCTATGTACAGTCATCTTTCTTTACCATGGAATCAATCCAGGACCCTAAAGATACCAAAACCCACTGATAGTTCCTTATATAAAAAGGCATTGCTTTGGGATATAATCTACACAGGTACTCCCTTAGTACAATTCAAACTATCTGTAGATTACTCATCAAACCTAATACAGTGTAAATGCTATGAATAGTTGTTGCGCTGTGTTGTTTAGGGACTAAGGACAAGAAAAAAGTAATGTTTAGTATGGGTACAGTTTTTTCCTGAGTATTTTTATTAGGTTGGTTGGATCCATATATGTAGAGCCTATGGGTACAGAGCGCCAACTGCATTATGAGATGCACAAAAATTATACGTAGCATTAGCAAAACACTGTTTGGGGCTATACTCTTTTGAAAGGTTTAAGAATGTTATGTGTTTACTTTTATAGCTTTCCACAGAGTAGCTGTTCTTGTTTGCTTTCAACTTGAAGTAATCTGATTTTTATCTTTTTATTTTGCTGTGGGCTTTACAAAGTAATAAATATTTCTGAGCGTTTCCACTCTTTGTTCTGTCCCTGAGGTGATTATAATGCTCAAATCTCTTTGTTGGTTGCCTTTGACTAAATGCTTTTCAGCAGCCCCGGGCTCAGCTCCTGGTTCCCAGTATGGCACAATGACCAGGCAGATTTCTCGACACAACTCTACCACTTCTTCGACATCTTCTGGTGGATACAGACGAACTCCCTCTGTGACTGCTCAATTTTCTGCTCAGCCTCATGTTAATGGAGGTCCACTGTATTCTCAAAATTCAAGTAAGCTTGTGTTTCGCAGGCATACAACAGTGGAGCTCCTTTTGATGGAAATTACTTGAAACTATTGTTCTTGCCAGTGATAGACAACAATTGAAACCATGCTATTTCATGTTTTATTTTTACTTTAGAATTTTAGTCCTTGAATTGTAACATTTTAAAACTAATTGCCTACCACTTGTCCAAAATTCAGACTGAGTATACTTAGTATACTAAAATTTAACTAATGCTTTAATATGCTATTTTCATTACAACAGTATACCTAGAGAACAAAAAAATAACCACTGAAATAAATAAATTTATTTTTATTGGCATGCTGTGATAGTTTGGTGTAATGGTAAAATTAAAAACAAATCGTATGAAAATTTACCTTTAAAATAAAATAATAAAATAATAAAATGAAATTGCTGGCTATCACTTTTCAGGCCATTAACTTACACTGAAATGAGTGCAAAACCAATTAAAAACATTCGTGATGCTTGCTTAATTGCTGTCTTTGAGTAATTCTAACAGTGGGAAGGATTTTCTTTTGATTTCTTTCTGTTCTCCTAAAATCGCACATCTCAATACTAAGTGAAATCAGTGTTCAAAGCTGTTAAGATAAGAAAATATTTTTTTAACTTGTAATAGGAAGTTTGAGTAGCTCAGGGTAGTCATTAAGTTAACTTTCCATATGAACATGCTTAATACAAAAGGAGAAAAATGAAATCTGAAATGAACTACTTGTCCAGTATTTGTCATTGGCTTGAGGTTGTGATCACCAGGCATAGCTCAAAACAGAGTTTTCCGTGTAGCTTTTGTAATGTCTTTCTAGAGCTGCACCCTGTATTCCCTTAAGAATCACAGTGAATACTCCAAGTTTACATTGGAGGTTAAGGTTTTTTTTTAAATTTATAATTTATGGCCTGAATATATATTTTAAGCAGAGCTAAGGGAAAGCTCTTTTATGCATTAAAAAAAAATGTTACACATTCATTGTTTTACAGAAAAAAATTCCTAAAAATTGAAAACTACGTAAGCCAAAATGTCGAAATATAAAAATGACAAATTTATGCAACTTTTTTCAAACTAAAATTTCCCTTTAAGCTAGTAAGAAATTTTAAGCTTTACCAATTAGAATTTTACCTCACATTTTCCCTGGTCATTTTGGATATTGAAGGTAGCTAGTGTCTGAATATTCCACAGATTAATAATTCACTTCACTAGTTTTACGACTTTTCATTTTTATCATAGTCTTCATTTTTAGATGTCACTTTATGTTCATTATTTTTCTTTTCCCCACTTAGACATTTAAGTTACTCTACAAATAGAGTTAATTCACCTATACATATTTATGTAGTTTTATTTCAGCAGTACTTAGTGTGTTCAGTAAGACACTTCCATTAGTAAATGTCTACATTCTTTTGAATACTGGAAGGCAAAATTGACCTCAAATTTTGAATATATTGTGTTTTGTCTAGTTATCCTTCAATATGAGTTACTGTTGGTGTTGTAGTTTTAATAGTATATAAATGTTTTAGTGTTTTGATGTGCATAGTTCTCCTTTTGTCTAAATGTGATGCTAATGATTAGTAGACAGCATAGCTTTCTTTTTCTTTACATACTAACCAGCATGGCTAGTCACTAAAGGTTGTTTCTTTAAAAAAAATTTAGGCTTGTGGGAATTATTTTTGAAAAATCAAAACCTCTAAACTTTTATTTAACAGAATAAAGAAGAACAATTTCTCAGTGAATTGTTATTTTTAGCCATAGAACGAATATTAATTCACATATGCTGTTTTAAGTTGTTGCTTCTTAGAAATCTGAACCTCTTTCAAGCTCTTTATGCTTACCACCAAAGTCCATGTACTGGATTAATTGAAACAGTTCTCTAAAAAATGATTCTTAGGAACTAGTAAATTGTTTTTCTCATCAGTGTAGTGTCACTTACTGGTGACTACTGGAAAAATAAACTTTGCCATCTGACTCTTTTTCTGAGTCATCTTTGGCAATTACTATCCTATTAAAATGAGAAAAAGTAGTAGTACATATTTGAGTGCTTATTTGTAGTTTATATTACGCTTTTTAAAGCAAAGTCCTGATAAGCCTTTGCTGACAGTTTCCTTTAATTATGTCCTTTCCTGGACGAAGTTTGAATATGTTTCAAGCTAACCACTGATTTGTTAGAAATTAATGCAGAGAATTACAAATTTTATTTTTTTAAATTTTTTTATTTTTTGAGAATTACAAATTTTAATTTATTCATCAGGTTTCCTTTTTTCAAAACAATGATAAAAAGTTCACCCCTGAGACACCTGATCCCATGAAACTCTGAATAATGAACATGGTGTATGGAGCAGTTATTCCTTAGCAATATCTTTAAAAATAAAATTGCCAACTTAATAATCATGTTTTACACACAAGGGGTTCTAGAAAGCTGTGTGTAAAATTAAATACGTAAGAACTATTTTAAAAGGAAACCTGTAATTAGTACACTTATTTGTGTAATCAGTACATTTTATATTTGTTTTATTTATTTTGGTTCTACTTTACAACAAAAGCTAGACAAATCTGTTACTTTATAGAGTTACAGCAAAAATACAACTTTCTGGAAACCTCTGTAGGTATTTCATTGTTAGGTATTTTAGAAATCTTTTTTAAGAGTTTGAAAATTTTTATTGCAATAAAATGAATGTAATGGTAAATTTAAAATTTTCCCCCAAAATATATAACATTAGTATTAAGTTAAGTATATTTGTTCTTTTATACATTCATCTAATTGGTAAGCACACTTGGCTTTAGGTTGACTTGGGGGACATGAACTTGAAGAAAGTTCTTCAGGTTTTTGTTTTGTTTTTTGTTTTGTTTCATTTGCAAACTGTTCTTTGCATACTTATGTTTGTGGTCCTTGTAACTGACTTCTGCTTTTTGTTTGTTTCCTTTTCTTTCCTTTATCTGTTTTACTTCCCCCATACTGTGTTGTTGCTACCAGTTTCTATTGCTCCACCCCCTCCCCCTATGCCTCAATTGACTCCACAGATACCTCTCACAGGCTTCGTGGCCAGGGTGCAGGAAAACAGTAAGTTTGGAAAAACTGAGCTGTCAAAGAATAGAGGCTCTCTCCTTATAGCATGCATGGCTGATGAGTCATTTTTCTTACTTTTATTGAGAGGCTAATATTATCTCGAAAACAGGTGCAGATATGTTACTGAAACTGAAGAGCACGGTCTTCAGTTTTTTCTCTTGTGTGCATGATTACTGACCCATATAAATTTCAAAACTGCAGCTTTCTTTACATACATGACCTGAAACCTAAGATCTGATCTTTGCATAATACAAATTGTATGTAAACTCCTACTTTTAGTAGTTGCCAGAGAATTAGAAAACATTTTTATTATAACAAATTTATCAAGATACATTGTGAGATTAAATTTACTAGGAAGCTGGTACAGATTTCCCCCCTTTAATTATTGAAAAAAAATTTAGAGAAAACTTGTGGCCTCAGATCTTTATACATAAATGATTTTGAACACAATGAAATTCATTAAGACTACCTCTGCAATAAGTAAATTATGTCCATGCTATCTATCCATTTAATAGTGAGTGGTAAGGAATGTAGAACTCACTTCATAATTGGGCTACATATAGGCCTATAACAGTTATTTCTGAATATGTAAATCTGTCAACTCTTTTAGGTCTTCTCTGAATGAAGAGCAGATTTAATGATTTCTGTCATTTATTTCTAATAGAAGGCGTTAATCAGGTTAGACTAGTTTATATTATTGCCTGATTAATTTTCAGGTTCCAGAAAAAGTGTAATTCTAACTACATGAACACAGTGAGTGTTGTGTGGTAAAAAGAAAACACTGAATTGTATTATGCCAAAAAAATTTGCTCAAATTAAGATGGTAATGTTGTGTAGTTCTAATCTACTGCATGTGGGACCTGTCCATGAAAAGAAGTTTCAGAATGGTTTGAGCAGATGGGGAACACACGTGACCAGCCTGTTTTGTAGGAGAATGACATATCATGGCAGCTTTTGATGCTCTGTTGTTATTCTCCCCATTCCCTCCTTTCCATCAGTCAAATATTTGTTTAGTCAGTATTACGTGTTAAGTTCTGGGAAGAACACAGATAGTTTAAGGTAAAGTCTTTGCCTTGAAGGAGAGTATGATCTCTGAGTTTAATATGAAATATTAGTTTCAAAACGTTGAAGTTTCTGTCCTTTTCTTTTCCTTTTTTTTGGAGAGAGGGTCTTGCTATGTAGTTTAACTAGCTTTGAACTCACTATGTAGCCCAAGCTGGCCTTGAACTTGGGGTGATCCTCCTGCCTCAGCTTCCTTGAGTGCTGGGGTTACAGGCATGCACTATCATGCCTGACTAAAATACTGAAATTTCTAAATGTAAACCTTCCTTCCTAAGTATCAACTGCTACTTGAAAATTCTGCTCAAACATTTAAAAATAAGTGACTCATGTTTTAAAAATAAGGAATCAGGGCAAGTCACTGGTCCTTAATGCTGCAACAATTTAAAAACTAAGCCACAAGCCACTTCAGCATATTGAACTGCTGTATTGCTAAGAATTATTAGGAAATAACTTAAAATAGCCAGAATTGATCAGTATTATGAGTCCCAGGGTCATTGACTATTTGGTAACTTTTCATGAATAGAAATCCGTTAAAAATATACATTATTTCCAAGCATTCATACTCATTGCTGAAAGGCCCTTGGTACAACTATTTTAGTTCTTTGTACCAAACATATGAACTCGAGTCAATTATTCTCTTTATACCACAGTTTCTCCAAGTGTATTTGCCATATATTTTCTTTGAAATCAAGTTAAGAGAGTTGAGAATAAACTGTATCAGCACTTTAAATGGTTTTTGAAGAACAAAGTGTCTGTCTTTAAGATATCCATTTTCTTTGGGTTTCAAAGTTGGTGATAATAAATGCATATAATGTTTAACTAATTCATTAATAAGTATTTTGGTTTAAAATGAACCCCTAAGTCAGCATTGTGTTAGTATTCCTTTATAATTAATATCAGAAGAATTTTGTAAATTAAATATGTATAATGCTGTGTGGTATTATGCAAAGAAATAGATTGACTGAACTCCTGCCATTATATGTAAATAAGCTAATGTTGGTTTACAATAGTTGGACACAAAGAGCTAGTAAGTTGTGTGTAATTTAAGAGCAGTGGCAATTCAGGGAAGTATATATGATTTACCTATTAAGCCAAGTTAAAGATACGAATGTGGCTATAATGTTGGGGTGGATTCATACCCATTTCCTTTCTTCAGTATTGGAAAGATTGGTGGAGGAGGTATGGGCAAAAATAAAATGGATACATGCATGTTGTAGAGAAATAAATCGTACACCCTTTGGACAGCTATTAGAGTGAACATTGCCATACAGAATTTGTCTGTCACCCTTTTCACCCCCAGGAGTAGAAAGAAATCACACAGTTGAAGTCGTGATGAGCAGGGCTGTATTTGCACATGTTTTCAATTGGAACCTCTTGGTTAGAATTTTAGCACATTATTCTGAGTTAGATGAAGTAAAATTTTAAAATCTGCATCAATTTGTATAGAATTTCTTCATTTACCTTTTGAACTGTTAAAGAAATGTATGGATCAGAAATTTAAGTGTTGTATTTTGAATTCCTTAATATTGGTGCACTTACACTTGTTATCGTAGCAGCTCAGTCAGAATGGTTCTAGTTGCTTTTCCCATTTCACTGTACTTTTGGTTACTTACAAGCACAAACACATACTTAGCATGGCCATTCAGAGTTAGAGGTATGATTCATTTTATTGTTTTCTTTTTTCTTTTTTATTATTACATCTTTCCTCCACACTTTATGTTTAAACCCTACTTGTGGTTGTATTCTTAGAAAAGTGGATCTTTCTTTAGGATCTGGTCTCCCCCTCATCTCATGCTTCTGTTTTATTAGCAGTAAGGCAAAATCTTACCTTCTTTTCAACATTAAAAAATTAGTTATAAATACAAACATTTTAAATATTTAAAGATTTTCCACTAACTGGAAATTTTATGTATTTTTTGTTAAAATTAAGTAATAGGAAACCTACATACAGAAACAGACTTGATACTACCAACTTTTTCTTTCCATTAAAACAAACATTGAACAAAATTATGTCCACTTGAGACTTAGTTTTCTAGGTCACAGAGGCTAGTAAAAAACCAAAATCTGGAGTAAGAATGAACACAATAAAAAAACTATCAAACCATTACTATAGCAACAATTACTATAGTTCAAATGGCAAATATAAATCAGCTTTTATTTTAGACAGCTAGGCTTAAAGAGGACATTTGTTTTTATTTGAGCCTTGGAATAAGGAAACTTCTATAATCTTTATAAAAAAGAGACATTGTTTCCTAACCTCGTGCATTCATTAATTTTTTAGTATTTCTTGATATCCTTATTTTAATATTGCAGAATTATTACAAGTAGCATAAACTTTAACACACCAAACTCTTCTAATCATTGCATGTTTTATTATAGTGCATGCTGTATATGTTAGAGCTTTCTTACATTTTGTTAATTTATAAATTTCCATTGAGACTAATTTCTGATTCATGTTATCTGAATCTTTTTAGTTGCTGATAGTCCAACTCCACCACCACCACCTCCACCAGATGACATACCCATATTTGATGACTCTCCACCTCCACCGCCCCCTCCCCCAGTGGACTATGAAGATGAGGAAGCTGCAGTAGTTCAGTATAATGATCCATATGCAGATGGGGATCCTGCCTGGGCCCCCAAGAATTATATTGAGAAAGGTAAGGTACCATTCCTCAACACAGAACTGATGTGAGGGTCAGTGCTTACAGAATCTTAGAACTCTAGAAAACATTTGGTCCTATATTTTTGTTGCCTACTTTGATGTAAGAACTAAGAATCTTCATAAAAATAGTCTTGGTATATTCTAGATTTAATTGGCATTATAATTTAAAATTCAATTAAATATTGGATATAGAGCACTCCCGTGATATTTCAATTATTTTCTCCACAGTTGTTGCAATATATGATTATACAAAAGACAAGGATGATGAGCTGTCATTTATGGAGGGTGCAATCATTTATGTGATAAAGAAGAACGATGATGGCTGGTATGAAGGAGTCTGCAATCGAGTGACTGGTCTCTTCCCTGGGAACTATGTTGAATCAATCATGCACTATACTGATTAATTTTTTATTTTTTTGCTTTTGAAGTAGATTATTACTCAGTCATACTGTGGGACTATTATGGTTAACAGAACTGTCTTACTGTTTCAAAATGTGCCCATATTTTCAGGACATGCTGTCTATTGGTATATTTGAATGTCTACCTGTAAGCATAAATCTTTGTGGCAGTTTGTATTTTGCTAAACAGCAATTTGTACAACGGGCTGCCCATAAATGATTATGCTTATATACTTACACATTGTTAACTTGATGACCAGCCTAAATATTCTGGGGAAGTGGGGTATATTTAACAAATCATGATACAGATTGTACCATTACATGTTTCAGTGCAGCATGGTTACTAATGCTATGTCAGACTAATATTAAAATCAGAAAACTTAAATGCTGGTGCTGGTCATACTTTTTGTTTAGATTCTCTCATTTTTAAAAACTGTTGAAAGCATGCATAAAAATTTATGTATTGAAATATACTTAAAAAATTCCAAGATGCTTCCAGTTTGTGTACTACTTCCTGGAGTACTCAGACTAGGTGAGTCACTAAAGTCTTCATGTGAAACAAGCAAAATTATCTGTAATGTTGTAATTTGTAACTAAGTTTCTTAATGAGTGAATTTGCATTACAAATTTTTCCATTCATAAAGACATAAGTGAGCCAAACGTTTTTGTCCTTTCCTTCACTGATTTCCTTTTAAAAATACAAAAACTGACTTATTGAAAAATTATGGTTCTATTTTCTCAATATATTAACTTGGAAAAAAATTTTAGCCTTATCTCAGTGTGTCCCAATAGCAATGTGATGGATTTTTGCAGATTTAAAATCTGAGATGATTATTTACAAGTCAATCTACTGAATTCCTTTTTTAAAGTAACTTTTGAAGCTAAGAAAATGTTTCAAAGTATACACATCATTCCGTAGGTAAAATTCTTAAGGAATGCCATGGTAGTCCTTAGGTTTTACAGTGGACTGTTGTACACTGGTTCAATAAAAGGAACTCATAAGCATTTTTTACATATTGTAAAAGTGGATGCAATTAATTTGTGAATAGGCATTATTTAATCCATTGCCTGGCACTAGCAATGTAAGATTTTAAAATATTTGGGAAAGATGAGTCATATGTTAATCAGTGAACAGCGATATACTTCCTTAACCAACAGATCCGTATTGTCTTTTGACATCATTGAAATGCAACACATGCACTTTGTGTGTCTCCTTTTAATTTAAGGGAGGGTTAGCAGATGTTTTCTTCTCGTTTTATCTTATGTATAATTCTTTATTGCCTAGGATACTAAAGTAGAGCATTCCAGCGTGGATTTCTGTGTATTGAGGATTTATTTGGATTTCATATTTCAGTTATGTACTGGGCCTTACAGACTTAAAACAGCATAGTGAATGGTGAGACTAGTGCAAAACGTTTATTTCTGAAAATTAAAGACCATTATTGCCACCAAATCAATGTGACTATTTCATATGCATTTTGCATTTAATTTTTAAACAAAGTATCATTAGTGATCAGTGATCTTTTACTTCCCTTTTTCAAGTTGAATGTTCTCTTAATTTGTATATAATCTGTTGTCTAAATTCTATGTATAACCTTTTATAATAAATCATTCTCCTATGTGAAATTTTGCATATTGTTAAAATATAACTCATGTGGATTTAGGTGCAGACTTTACAGTTTTTCTGACCTGACTTAACGGTGAAACAAGACAACCCAAATGAATTTTAACATTGATTATTTATTTGTGCAATGGCTTCACATGTGGCTATTAACCATGTAAACAATACCACATATAATCATCATCAAGATACCTCCATTAGACTTTATAGGACTACGAGGACAGATTCAGGTGGTTTAATTACATTTAAAAAGTTTTCTGAAAAACTGCCAATAAAAAAACTGCCCAACAGTAAGGTTGAAATGATTTTTTAAAATGATTTTTGGTTATCTGCACACGAAGCAAATAAGGTGTATTTCCACAGATTTTTTTTTTTTTAGGCACAGTCTGGTAAAATAGCTGCCAGAAAGAACAGGAAGAGCTGTCATTTTTCTCTTGTGAGTACAATTTCCGAAAGCTGAATGAGGGCATCTCTCTCTGGGGATGGCCGGAGTTTACTGATCTCCCTTATTGCTTCGTGGCAGTACTGCTGGGCGAGGTAGGTTGTTTGCTGCACACCATCACTCTGTGGGTAGAGAACAAAACACAGCAGATGTCATAATTGGACCGGCTCTTAGGTTCCTGCTACAATAGATTAAATCATACTTCTGAGATCAGATGAGCTGAGGGTGAGTCATGCTCTTAACAGCCAAACTATGTTTCTGATGTTCTCTTTCCAACTCACAATTTTAGCTTCCTCTGCCTATTACTTTTAGCCTTTTCTTTTTTTTAATTTAAGCAAATTTTTATTCTATTGGCATACAAAGAAACTGACTCATTAATATCAGGTAGCTGGTTTCTATTTTTTACGTAGTAAATTGAGTTTTTCAAAGTTCTAATGGTGTGGTAACATACACCTGTAATCCCAGCACTCTGGGAGGCTGAGGCAGGAAGATCACAAGTTTAAACCCAGCCTAGACAACTTAGTGACACCGTGTTTAAAAATAAAAAAAAGGGCTAGGCATGTAGCTTAGTGCAAAGGCCCTGAATTCAGTCCCCAGTACCACATGTACAAGAGGAAAAAAACCTATTAAAATATATACCTCTACACAGAATTCTTCATAACAAAATTTTTAAAATAATAAAGCATTTTCAATAAAGGGCTTATGATGAAAATCAACAGTTCCTTTCTTTCTCCTGAAAGCACTATCCGTGTCAGTTACTTCTCACCTAGCAATTTTAGTTGTTAATTTGTTACACTCTGTTAAGAAGGATGGATTGGTTCACTCATACTGTGCCTAATTTGATCATTATGTTGCCATTGTTAATTCTTGTTAATTATCTTTGTCATCACGTAGCATCAACTGTCTTTGTAAGATGAGGGAGGGTATCAGTGCTTCTGTCTTTAACTGTATACCATTACACTCTATAGACATTTGCATTCTATTCTGTAATTATGTTTTTAATGCTGATTCTTTCTAAAAGCTGGACATTAATAAAATACTTATAATTTCTACAGTGTAAAAATACTGTGGAATGAAGTCACACAGTATAATTTTATTTCCTTCTCCATGGTTTGTGATCCCATTGTCATTTACAGTAAACTATCTCTAACATGGTTGAAAGGCTTTTGGTTTTTTATGCTTTTCCAGTTATTAAAAATATGACATATTTTAAGTTGGCCGTGCCTTTTTGTACAGAGGCCTGCCTTTTATTTCTTGTTTCTATACATTTTGCTGAAGTACTTTCGCAAATAACTTACCCAGAAACTATGCTTGGGACGTCAACTCTTTAGTCTTTCGGTGTGATAATGCCCTCCATCTGCTTCCAGAGTGAATGGCTGATCTAACAGTGTGCAGTCCCTGGCTGGAACAGTGTTTCCTGCTCATCACTGGGAAGGCCCTGCCCCACTGTTCTCTAGCACCCAGTGTCCACTGTGCACTGAGCTCATCCTAATATCTCTTCCTTGTGTAGGTGACCGCTTGTCATTCTCTGTTTGAAATATTTTTTATAGCTTTTCTTTAGTCAGTTTTTCAGTCATTTACAATTTAAGAGATTGTCTTCTGAGTAAAATTTATATTTTAATAATATCCTCTTCTTGTTTTATGTATGTATGCCATGGGTTTTTCTTGTGGTCTTCCTATTTTTACTTTTCAGTCTTTATCTTGGTTTCTTTTGTTTAGCAAGCTTTAAATCAACTCTAGTAATACTGAATTGTCCATTCACCTGGGGTATTACAGTGTAGAAGCCTTTGGAGAACTTGTTTGGAGAACATTCCTATGGATTTTTTCCCTAAGTGCTTTTCTGGCTAGACCTGCTTTAGCAAGACCGCAAAGGAGCTTCTGTACAAAGAAGCACAGCAAACTAAAGTGCCGTACTTTGACTACTGATAGACTGTATTTCAGTTTTTTACATAAGAGGTGTAATTTTCCTCTTTTTAGTCCCACTTGTTACTCTAGCCTTTTAGTTCGTTATAACCATATGTTCAACCAGAAGTTGAAACTACCTTTTTAAAAATTATGTTTACTGCACTAAGCATAGTGGCACACACCTGTAATCCCAGCACTCTGGAGGCTGAGGCAAGAGGACTGCCATGAGTTCAAGGCCAGCCTGAACTGCATAGTGAGACCCTGCCTCAAAAAGACCAGCAAACAAAAAAAAGTGTCTACTGAACACAGGCAGACATTTTTTTCTTTCTGGTGGTTATTCCTTAATACTGCTGATGCAACATCTACAGTGTAGGGGTAGGTGTGGTAAGTAGTCTAGAGATGATTTAGAGGTATATTGGGAGGATGTGTTAGGTTACATGCAAATGGCACACTGTTGGAAGGGGATTTTAGCATCCATGGATTTGGGTACCTGTGGGGGATCATGGAACCAACGCAGCCAAGCTGCAGCAGGATGACTGGCACATTATTTCTCAAACCAGAGCCTGTCTCCAGGTTCTTTATTGGCTACAACACCGTGTTATACCAGGTTTTTACACTCCTGCCAAACCACTCTCTTATGGTACACAACAGTAAAGTTAGTTAAAACAGAAATACGTCCTTTTGAAAGGGTTTCAGTTTTCATGAACTTTTTAAATCTGAAAGGTAATTATTTGCAGTTCTTTCAAGGGTTACAAGGAGTGTAGATCTCAGGCCACACACAGTTACTAACATTTGTTTGCTTTCTCGATTTCACTCAATAAATCTGTAGCCTTCAGGTGACTGAAACAGCTCATTCTCAAAACGTAGTCTCCCAAGCTGAAACTGCAAAAGATCTTTTAAAAGAAAATTAAGAAAATATATGGCAGTTTATCTTAAAACACCTGGCTCCTGAACAGAGTTAAGTAGTTCTCCCTTTAGAAGAAGAACATTCATATAAATGTATAGTTGCCTAGGAGCATTTCTTTAGTCACTCCTTTATAAGACTTTTACTGGATGGACTAACATTTATGAGATCGCTGTGACAGTCTTGCTGTAGTAAGCAGGAGGGCTTGCACTAAGTTGGCCAGTTCAGGTATCTGAGGACACAGCAGTGCTACTGATGGACAATGGGTCAGACTGCTGCAGAACGCAGAAACTAACAATAGGCGAGTCTTGCCCAGGGTCAGTTAAATTATTTGGGCAGTATTATAGAAGTGAATTAAAAGTGAGAAAAAGGAAGTTTTCCTTCTCTGTTTTGTCAAAAAGACCAAATTTAGTCGTGTCTGATTTTTAGCTAATGTTACATGTTTGGTTAAAAGTTGTCACACTGTATCTCATACTGACTTTTAAAAATAATCTTACCTGTAATATGCATTGTCGAGCTCTGTCCACATCTCCCGGCAAGCTGAACCGTCTCATTATCATAGCATTCATTTCTGGGAACTAACCATAAAGAAAGGAAATTTATTGTTTCTTGAAGAAGTGTTCTCACACTAGTTTGTAATAGGAAGTAACAATTTAAAAAATTTCCAAAGATGTCTAAGTGGCTAGAGGATCCTGAGGTACAGTAAACTGTAGCAGTGAAAGCTGTGCAAGCAGAGACCCCCACCGCCTGTGCCCAAGGACCAAGGCGGGGCCCAGAAAGGAGTTGGCCACTGGCCGTGTTCATTCTGGTGCTCTGTTCGCTCTTTGGTCCAGTACTGAAAGAGGCATGAGGAACAAGTTCCCTCTCCAAAATCTCGCTTGACGTCCCTGATTCTGAAACTTCAGGTTGCATGAGTCCACCCCCACTTTGGAACTCAGTAGAGTAAGGCCAAAGCAGGCATCTCTAACAAATTCCCAGGTGCCTCTGATTCATAGCAACATTTGGAGATCTGCTGGCCCAGGATGAGGGTAGGAATCCAACATTCTGCTTGAAGTACTAAACCAAAGAGCCCTGGAAGCTGTTGAGGTTACTGAGCATGGCTAGAACAGTGTTGCTTGATGTTGTAGTCATCGGGGGAGGCTAAAATATGGTTGCCTATATCCCATTCCCAAAGATGTGGTCATACTGCCTTGGGATTTAGCATGGGCACCAGGATTTTTAAAAGTTCCCAGGTGTCCTTAATATTGCTGCCAACTGAATTAAAGGAGAGGTAGACACACTGTCTGGTTACTGCAGTGCTGAAAAGAAATAAGCTCGTGATAACTAAAGGGAAGAAGGTACAAAAGACATTAAAAAGGAAATTTGTATTCTACAGTACTTAGTAACTACTTAGGAGAATTGCCACCACTAAGAGTAAGGAAACTAGGATGACAGGCCACTTCATAGATCCAACAGGCCACTTCCTAGATCCAAACCCGAGTCCTGACCCTCCATCAGCTGCCACCACTGAATGAGTTCCTTATCTCTGGCGTCTCAGCCTCATTTGCCTCTCGTGACCTCAAATGCTTGACTTGGAATAGTCTGTAGTTCCGTGGAATAAGAGGTGGGATGTGTTTGGTCTTGGACACATCATGCTGAGGAGCAGTGGCCAGTTTTTCCCTGGAAGTGAGCCTGAAGGATGAAATAAGTTGTCCTGTAATCATTGCCACGGTCTGAGTAATTCTGGATGAAAAAACAGGGCACACAGGAAAACCTCACCCAGTGGTGGCAGCTGAGGAAGATGTTCTTTTCAGGGCAAAATACGTTAGAATATATACTCCTCTCCTGTCCTCTCAGACCACATCGTGTGGTCCTGCACCTGACCTTTCTGTTCTTTCCCCACACCGTTTCCTGGAACGAGGTCTCTGTCCCAGAGATTCTCTGCCCCGCTGTGTTCCTCATCCAGTCCCTCGGGATTTCATTTCTTGTTACTTAGATGTACCTAACATGCAGAGACTGCTAACATTCTTAAAGAATTTCAACAGCCAGCAACTGGTTCTCAAGTGAAAAGGAGCAGTTTAAGAACAATACAAGCTTTAACAGGAACAAAGGCCGGGGATGTAGCTCAGCGGCACAGCGCCTGCCCAGCAAGCATGAGGTCGTGAGTTTGATTCCCGGTACCAAAAAAACCCCCCCAAAACCAAAACAAAACGGTAGAAATTCTAAGGAATGCATCTACAGAGAATAAAACGAACAAATCAGGAAAGCCCCAGTCAAAATTTTTTTTTGTGGTAAAAGCCACATCAGATAGCCATTTGTTTAATTTTGTTTTAATACCACATCCCAAAACTGTATCTTTACAGCTCATATGATCTTATCCTGGGCAACTTTAAAATTACCTTGTGTAAAACATGCTGATTTTTACTGTAAAAAAGCACTGAGAAAGCAAAATTTGAAATAAAATTTGCATTGCGTGTAACTACAATTTGAAACAAGAAGTCTACACAGTCTTAATATGCAGATATCTAACTTCCTGGAGCCTTGCCCCAGCCCGAGTGTACATATGGAGAGGACACAGGAGTAATTGCCTGCTTGCTGACTTAGTGAGAAGTAACATTTTTGTTCGCTCAGGCTCTGTTTTGAAAAGTAGGAAAACAACCTGTGAATGAGTCAGACTCTACATCTGTGAAATCCATCCACAAACTACAAAGGTGATCCCTAAACAGGAGTGAGTTACCCAAACACAAGTGGGTAACCAAGGCACCAACTAGTCACAATAGCTAAGCTTGCGTAGCTGCTGCAGGGGCTGGTGCTGGCAGTTAAGGCTGCAGGCTGACACTTAGGTCTATTACCAAGGAAGGGAAGCACAAGAGTTTTTTTTAAAAGAGCTTAAAAACTAATGACTTCCATTTTTTTCCTGAAGATTTTAAGATCCAATCAGTATATTCTTGAAAGATTTAACATGAGTTTTTTATTCTTTCTCTCTCTCTCTCTCACTCTCACACACACACACACACACACACACACACACACACACAAAGGGGCGCTGCGATCTCCAGAAGCCCTGAAACTTTCTTAGCTTTATTTTTTTGCAGTGCAGGGGCCCGAACTGCACACTGGGCATGTGCCTACCACACTAAGCCACAGCCCCTGAAACTTTTCTCAACCGCCCTGTACCAATTTTTGTGAGCCAGGAAATGCCTTCAAGAGATGTCAAAAAATTTCAGGATGACTTCCCATGCCAAGTGAAAAGGGCAGTCTCCCAAGATTGCCTGTCCTGGTCCAGTAAGATTTAGTCAATGTCAGATGAAAAAGTTAAATAGCCAATCTGCAAATAAAATTCATCTACCTATAAGGGCTGCAAACACTAGAACTACTAGTACATGGGTGTGTTAATGAGAAATAACAGTGGACCCAGAGTGTTAGCGTTCTGTCAGTACGAGGCATCCGGGTTACCTGCCCTGAGGGAAGATCAGCTAGGTGTCACACAACTCATCAGCTACTGACTCATCAGCATTAACCACAGAGTGTAGTGAAATGAATGCTGGTCTCAGAAGACTCGGGAATAGTCAATTGCCTTCTGTGCCATTTACCAGATGTTTAATTTTGGCCAGACTTGAGCAGCAGCTTCTTATTTATAAAACAGACATCATAATATCTACCACAAAGAGGAACTGTAAGATTAGATATAATGTATGAAAGAATCCTTTATAAATTAAAAACACTTTTTCACTAAGTGAAGATATACTGCAATTCTTATGTTATTTTTGGAAACTACTTTACCCAAAATTACTTTTACTTCTAATAAATCTTAGCAGATTTCTTGCTAAGAATCCCTTTTTTTGACAGTGTAACCCATAGGAAAGCTTAAACTTGCTGTTTTATTTGAAAACAATTTATAAATACATATTTGCTGAACTATAAATACATATTTGACTAACTTTTGGCCCATGTGCCAGAAGACAAAAAAATCAGTCTATTTATGAAGTCCTGTTCAGAGTCACTTCCTGCTTGGCTTCAACAAGTCTTCCCTTTTTGAGGCTGCTCTGTGCCTTTTTATCTTTCTTCCCCCCACTGCTTTACGGGCAGATGAAAAAAGTGCTGTCTGATGAGAATGAGTAGACGCCTTATGACCCTGGGACTTCCCGGGGAAGCACAGCACAATTGTGCTTTGAGGGCATTGTAGCCCTTCACTGTTCCCTTTCCTTGTGTCCTATCCCCTTCAAATCAGCATTTTCCCATCTACTGTAGATTACTGACAGATCGCTATGTAGGAGGGCTACACACACACACACACACACACACACACACACACACACACACACACAGAGGCAGGCACATGCGTTATATCTGAACACAGAATGAGCCATTACTCCTTTGTGCAGAGGACAGCAAATATATTCATAGTGAAGCAATCACAACAGGCCATGCTATTCCTAAGGAATCACCTTAGTTTAAGGGGTACTCAACTGTCAGTATAATGGGCTCATAAGAAAGATCTGCAATTGTTGAGTTGCTGTAAGTATAGCAACCAAAATTTTTAGTAGTCTGTAAGCCATGTTAGAAAAAGGCTTGTTCCCTAGTTATCCTAATACAGTAATTTCAGGGCCTACCTAAATGAGGTTTCACTGAGATACCCGCCTTCAGCATGCAGAGGCTTTCATACTGTTCTTTCCTCGTGTTTACTGACCAGTGTCCGAGGACGTTAAGGTGTGTGGTTGTACCATAAGTGGTAAAATACCTTTACATTTTCATGGCTTCTGATTACTTTCTTGTGTGGGTTTATGGCAAAACAGAAAATGTTCTCCACACACAGTATATTAAAGAGGTTTTACAAATTTTTGCCAGAATTTGGCATGCATTCACAGCATACCTCACGTCAGTCTCAAAAACTTTGAGAGCTAGAGCCCGGTAATCAGGACAAGTGTTTCCAGGAAGGGCCCAGCATCTCCAAGCACAGCCCCTATTCCTCAACTGACTGTAGCTGGTGAAAAACACCTGGCCTGGCCATCCAAGACAGCAGCCTCCCCTGGGACTGATTCAGCTTTGCCAGAGGGGGGATGAGAGATACCTCCTCGGGCCGATCAGACACTAATCAGAGGCAAGGTCACTGGTTTCTGTATCAAAATGCAAGTGCCAAGTTCTGTAGCTGATGTGACTTACTCTTTGTGAGGTCTAAGAAAACAGCCAAAATCTGAGAGACCAAAAGGCTAGCTTTAGCTGGCGCACACCTGTAATCCCAGCACTCAGGAGGCTGAGGCAGGAGGATTGTTGTGAATTCGAGGCCAGCCTGGGCTACAAAGTGAGCTCAAGGCCAGCCTGAACTGCATAGCATGACCCTGTCTCAAAAAAGAACCCCCACAAAAACAAAAAAACAAAAAAACAACTAGCTTTCAATTTCAGGGCATGGTGATGAGCATCTTAATGCTTTGCTAAATAATGAGTTAAATGCCACTAAGATGAACTCTTTTTAAAAAAGTCCAAGTACCAGCTAATGGCCCACTTATTTCCAGTGACATTTGGTACAGCCAAGAGCAGTGTGGCCAGCATCCAAACAGGCTGTGCAAATGTCTGCTCTGGAAGTCACTGCAGCACCTTTGATGTTCCCTAAGCTCTTCATCCACAGTGAGAACACGAAGGCGGCTTTACTTCTTGCTCTGACAGTCCCTCAATCTGGACAGAGAAGGAGCTATGTGGCTCTAGCGGAGTCCACTGATTTCTTGACATTTTGAGACAAGGGCTGAGGCGCGGAGCCTCTCTTAGAGCAGCCAACGGTCCCATTACACTAGAACTGAAGAATTTCTCAGAATTGCTTAGGCTTGGAGGCATCCACAAATTCCAGTCCGACAATCAAGATGCAGAAACCATTCACCCTGCCAGTGCCCAAAACAGATGAGATAATCATGATGCTTCCTTAAATGCATGTAGCACTTCACCATTTATAAGATAACGAGTATTATCTCAGTTAATCCCCATGACCGCCTGGGGGAGGGGGAGACTGTAATCTGTTTTACAGATAAGGCTTAGAGAGGTGAAATGATTGAAAGCAGGATCACATCTAGATCTTCGGTGTCTTTAAATGCCTCCCCAGTGTCCCATCTCAGCCTTCTGTCAGCCGTGCCCAGAGACTGGTCCTGCAGGGCCACCAAGCAGCGTATCCAAGGGGTTTTGTATACCTACCTGCCGGCAAGCAAACAAGACGGGGCCTGTGGCTAACCCCAGCTTCAGGTCAGCGGATGTTGGTTTGCCCATCTGTTCGGAACACGAGGTGAAGTCCAGCACGTCATCTATGAGCTAGCAAAAGGGCAGGAATGTGAGAGGCAGCCCGCGCCCCGCCGCCGCCCTCTGCTGCTCTGGTCGTGCACGGGGGAGTGTGGCTGTCCTGACACGCGACCCTTCTCAGAGGGAAGGCACACACCAACCTGAAAAGCCATCCCCACATTTCTTCCATACTGATAAGCAATCTCATGCACCACTGGGTCCGGGCATCCTAGGACAGAGACCTGAAACAGAAACAGGATTCAGAGATGAGCGACCAGTAGCCAACTGGGATCAAACAGTCAGCCATGCAGTCCCTTCAGTAAGAGGCTGCGGGCTACCGCACACACTGTCAGAGATACTGATATCGAAAGGCCAGACAGATACAAACTACTCTTACTTTTCATATTTGGCAGTGCTAGGGACTGAACCCAAGTCCATCAGCACGCTAGGCAGACGGTCTATCACAGCTACATCCCCAGCCTGTTTTCTTAAAGTCTGAGAAAATGACCTTTCCTACCTGCCCCCACATTTTCCAAAACAGGACAGGCAGTTTTGTCCACTGCTTAAGAAAAAAACTGAGCTACCGTGACGCCATTTCTGCCGGTGCTATGCTAAGTGAACCTTTCTGACACGAAAAAGCAGATCATAGTACGGGAGATGTGGGCTTCCCGCGTGCAGCACACCAGCCTCAGTGCTGTGGGCGTCCACAGCCTCCTCGGCCTCATCCCTCCTGTTCCATCTACCCCATCTGTGGCTTGTTCTTTTAGTAACCACCGCTGTTTTTTGAGGTACCTGTCACAACCTTAAGCCCATGTTTGGACACAGTGTTTTATTTTAAGAAGGGTCATCCCTGGTCCTACTGCTTCTATCTTTCTCTTAGAAGTAATTTAACTATATAAAGACAGCCTGCATTTTTTCCTTGTCCATAGGGGGAGAAATAGGGCCTCAAAAGTCTTTTTTAAAACCGTGAGGAAATCTAGCCAGCGCCAGCCCCTTGAGTGTATTTCCCGCTGGCCTGCAAAGCATGCTAAGCAGGCCCAGCCACATTTTCAGAAAACAAAGACTGGGTCCAAACCAAACCGGGGGAAGGGGAGAGACACTGCTCTCCTGGAGAGGAAACATCTATATTGACTCTCAGTGAAAAAGCCAGACGGAGCTCTTCAATCATCTTCTGCAGTGGGTCACAAGTGCTAAATACCCTTGTCCCCAACCATGAATCCCTGTCTCTATGGTCCCGCCGAGGCATCAGCATGGGACAGCGGGGGCAGGCTCTGGAGTGAGCCTGCCAAGGTTGTATTTACGCCCTAACGACTGCCACATCACCTTGGCATGCTGCTTAATCTTTCTGTGCTTCAGTTTCCTCATCTGTGACATGCAGGACTTAAAAGCACTTACCTCAGAGGTTTGATGAGAAATAAATGTGATGCTATGCCTAAGCACTCAGCCATTTTGCCTGGCTTCTAGTTAGAGCTCAATCTGTACTTGCTATTAGCATTAATGATCCTCCACATTTTCCTCACTCACTGGACCCAGAACCAGGAGCCTGGGCAGGGTCCACGCACCTCTGCTATTTACAGCCAGATCATGGAACTTCCTCAGGGCCAAGAAAGCTTTCTGACTGACTACTTGACGTAGTCCATGCTGTAACGGTTGGCCCTAAATACATGACGAAACCACACTGCCGTACAAGGCTAGGGGTCCCTTACTTGAGTGAATAATGAGCTCATACCTATTTCCAACACTACAGACCTGGCCGTGCTCTACAGAGAGGGGAGATCTTTGTGAGACCACACAGAGGGCCCATTTAGAAACGTAAGCAGCCAACGAAGCCATCAGGTTGGCTCAGAGAATGAGAACAGGGCAAGGTCTGGGCAGTCTGGGATATCCTGAGCTCAAAAAAGAAAGATGGCCCTTTTCCTTAGATAGAAAGTAGCTGATAACAAGGAATTTCCTGCCGTGAGATTAACGTTATTTTCTCAACCCAAAGCCACCCAGAAATATAACTTCTTGAAAAAAGAAACAGAACACTTTTTTATGAATGAATTCATGGAGCACATATGATTAGCACTTTACATCATTTTAGTTACACCTCACAACGTCACATACATGCTAGTCATGGAACCGTTGCTGCCAGCTTTTATGTTTCTGTCCGTCAGAAGCTGCACTGCAGAGTGATGAAGGGGACAGTCTCTGGCGAGAGTGTTTGGATTAGATTCCGACGCCAGCGTGTCTTTGCCATGTAACAGCTCTTGACCCTCATCAGTAGGAAAACCTGTGAGAAATCGGAGAACGCTGTCCAGCACATCGTGAGTGCAGCTTCTGACGGACGGGCAGGCGCTCGCTGAGGTCAAGAGTGTGCGAGTTCACAGGCATGAGGCCTGTTCCACCCCTTCGCTCACACAGACAAAACAGCGCCTCCTCCACAGGCAGCTTCTCCTCACACAACGAGGAGTTAATGTTTCTGCTTAGGTTTCAACTCCCGCAGCCTAAGGACTGACTGCCCCAGAGTGTCCTGACCCCTAAGCAGGCTAAACGCTGCTGGATCTGTGGCAAGCTACCAGGAAACCAGCACCACAACTAGGAAAATTACATGCAACAGGCACAACACGGAAAATGTCAAGAAGGTGCGCAGACGGGAGAGGCACGCAGCCTGCACTTAGCTCCGGAGAGACGGGGCACATCGTGCTGAGTGGGCGGAGTGTGGAGAACGACTGAGTCAGAGGCAGTGGTCCAACTCACTGGTCTGAAGCAGCTGCCACAGGCAGGCTGTGCAGTGCATATGTGCTTCTCCCTGCAAAAGGGCCCCGTGGACCTCCTACCAGATTCCCCTGAGCCCTGCCCGAGACAGGAGCTACTGTTTGCACTGGAGGGGCGAAGCGCGTGATATTTATCAAGGACTCGACCCTTGAGGGGTGTATTTGCACCACCATAGATTAAAAAATATATTCTGATGCTTACATGTATGTATTTTGTTCTTATTAAAAATAATGGAGAGAATTAAAGAGCTACTATTAATTACAGCAAATAATATCAAAACAGAATATTGTCCAAAATCAACTGGAAATATAGGGAGAAAACATACTCAACACAATATCATGGGTAAAAAGCTAACATTCTTAATATAAACCATTCTTAAAATCTGAGGAAAAGGCCAAATATCCCCTAGAAAGTAGGCAAAAGATATGAATAGACAATTCACAAAATTTAAAGGTATAGAACGGTACTTTACTTTCTAAAATGATGTTCAACTTTACTTGGAAAGGAAATCTATAAATTAAAGCTTCACTAGGGGTCATTTCTCATATACTGCAATGGCAGAAGACTGAAGTCTAATGCCACGTTCAGTTGGTAAGCTGTGGGGAAGAGGTAAGACACCCTAAAAGACTGCTGATGGAAATGCACACAGGTACAACCCTTAGGTGGAGAAATTCAGTGGTGTCTACGGAAGCCACGCATGCCACTGCCCCTAAATTTATCTTGAGGTTTCCTTCTCACAAAACACTTACACAAGGGTAAATCATGGCAGTGTTGTGTGTCACTGTAAAATACTGAAAACCAAAGGCCCACATGCAGGAAATGGTCCAGTAAGCCTTGCTGGGTCCACACAATGGATATAACTCCGCTATTTTTAAAATAGTCTACAATCAATATGAAATCGTTTCAGAATACCTGAAATGGAGAAAGCAAGGCGCAATAAGAAAAACAAACACAAAGTAGTCCAATACACTACTAGCGATAAGAATGAGGAGGCCTCTGCTAAGCAGAACACAGGAAAAGGGAACCAAAGAGTCATGAGAGTGGCCCCCCGCCCTGGCGGGGGCCGAAAGAGGCACACAGCAGGCTACAGAATGAAAGCGAGGCCCTTTCTTCCAAGTTCAGGCTTCTGCAGCAATGTTAATGTTGCACACACTCAAGGATCGACAATAACAAAATTCTCCAAGCCAAAAATGTAACGCTGGGAGGTTATCTGTAGCCTGAAATAAAAAACGAACCAAATTATATTTCAAACAACACAACCACAGTGAAAAGGAGAGGTAACTTTTAAACAGGCTTTGATGACATTATCCTCAAGATTAAGAGTAAACAAAACACTGAACTCTAGCCCTGGGTTCTGTTTTTCACAGATACGAGTTGTCAGTTGTGAAACTCCTGTAGATATTCTATGACCAAGCAAATACATACATTGTGGGGAATGAGAACCAAGTCTCAAGCGCTGGGGAAGGAAGCTATAAACAGGAGGCTGGAACGCTGGAGTAAGTCATGAAGTCTGGGGTTACATGGATACATTACTTGGTGCTCTTCTGCTGAGAGGCCTAAAAACGTGACACCACGGGCCCAAATTCTAGCATGGACAAGGCCCTGTATTCCACTCCCAGCACCACAGGGAGAAGACAGCTGACCACTTTTTATACACAGTCATGCAAAATACACTCCGTTGCTCACGCAGTGAAAGCTATGCTTGTTCCCCAAGAAGAGCTGATGGAAATGAGACTGGGGGTCAGACGGACTGTCCGGTGTTCTTCAGATACCCAAAATCTGCAAGCTGAACGCACCTTGCTTTCTTCATGTTGACTGCAAACTCTCTATTTTAGAAATAGCGGAGTCGTATCCATTGTGTGGACGCAGCATGGTTTACTGGACCTCTTTCCTGCATGTGGGCCTCTGGTTTTCAACATTTTACAGTGACAAATACTCTACAGTACCATTCTCCAATACCAAAAGGAACTTGGGCTCCTTAGGGAAGTGGTGGGTTACAGGGCTGGAGAAAACCAGACGAGCCTGGAAAATCTCCTTCTAGAAACCAAAGAAGCAGTGAAAGAACGATGGAGACATGGTAAAAGGACACAGGAGCCATGTGAAAGGGCCTTCCCTGCCTGGCCAAATATGGGCACACTGAGCATGGCAGTAAGAAACTGAAGAATTCTAACCCACAGACTAAAATAACCTAAGGACCCATACAGATAAACGCTTCCTTACAAGAGGTACCAAGTCTATTGTAGCAGAGGAAGGATGGAAACACCACTATTTGGCAACCACTATAGTAATGCCTCAGGAAAGAAGGGTAAATAGATGCTAAAACCAGAGCATCAGAGTTTGATGAGAAATAGAGTATTTATATAATATGAAAATACTTCCTGGAAAATAGGGCAACTTTAAAGTGAAGCAACCTGGCAGACACCACCCTAACCAAGTGATCAAAGCACACATCACAACGGGACAGGAGGCGACACACATCGCTTGATGTGACAAAAGAACACAGCATTGCTTTTCGCTGTGCTCCTCCATAAATCCATACAGGGAATCTAATCCTGACAAACACCAGACAAACCCAACTCGAGAGGCTAAACACCTAGTTACTGCACACTCTTCAGACATCATGGTGGAAAAGACAAAAAGGCTGGGGAAGGCTTCTGGACTCTCCTCTGCCAGGGACTGCAGGCCTCTGCACAGGGTTACACCACCATTTTCAGCCCCTTTTTAGAGGATCTCGGGAAGTTGCTAAATTGCTTGGGCTGGGTTTCAACTTATAATCCTCCTGTTTCAGCCTCCCAGAGTGCTGGTGTTACAGTTATGGGCCACCACATCTGGTTATTCCAGACTTAAAGAGTCTAAGATCTCATGACAGCTAAAGGTAACATGAGTCCTTGGATTGGTTCCTGGACTCCGCCACCCCCACCAATTTTTTTCCCTTTTGTTGTGTCAGTATTTGGAAAATGGCAAAATCTAAGTAAGGTCTGTACATAGCAAGAATATAATAACAAAAACAGTGTTCTAATATGACCCCCACACAAACTTCTGTGGTGGCACTCTGGAATTTCAAGGATAAAATAATGAAGAGATCCTACCGATTCCAGCCAGGCCATACTATTCTCTACATAGCATAGAAACGCAGGGGGAAAAAACCAAACCAAAACAAAACAAATCAAAATCCTGTGGGACATGCCGGGCATGGTGGCACATGCCTGTAATCCCAGCATTTAGGAGGCTGAGGCAGGAGGATTGTTGCAAGTTCGAGACCAGCCTGGGCTACAAAGTGAGCTCAAGGCCAGTCTGAACTGCACAGCAAGACCCTTCTCAAAAAGACAACAACAACAACAACAAAAAAATCCTGTGGGACAAATGAGGAGGGGTTACCATATCTACCTCTGGGTTCAAATCTCAGTTCAGCCTCTATCTGGAGAACACCGGTCAGTCTGCCTGACCCCCTAGGTCTCATTTCCTCCAGCTTTTCTGGGGGAACAAGCCATAGTTTTTACTGGTGAGCCACAGAATGTATTTTGCATAACTATGTAAAAAAAATGGTCAGCTACCTTTTCCCTGTGGTGCTAGGAATGGAATACAAGGCCTTGTCCATGCTAGGCAAGCACTGTTCCAGTGAACTGTTCTCCCAACCCCTCAATCACCTTTTGATAGTAAGGTTAATTCTATTTAATATCAGCCAGTCACAAAATAATCTCCTTAGCAGCCCTCTCTTAGATTTTACCATTACTTCCATTAAAATACAGTGGAAGATTAAAGGGGGGAGGGCGCGTGGTGAGGGAAAAAGTGGCATCCTTAGAATGAAATAAGCTGGTGAATTCCTTCAAGTTTCAAAGCATTGTGGAATCACATTAGTTCTTCTGTAACAATCCTGATCTTTAAGTTCTTATCTCCTCTTTTTGGCATGTCTAATTTGCTTTGTATGCATTCCTTCAGAGCTCATATGCCTTTGCATTTTAAATACCAAGAGTACGTAAAAATAGCAATTTTGAATACATAACACCTCTGGAGTATTTCCACTCATGGGCACTTAAATATAGAAACTTTTATTCGGAGAGTTCACACTACGATTTGCTTCATTATTCTAAAAGCCTTGGGGTTTAGGAATAAAGCACATGAAAAGCGGGTAGTTCTGGGCTGATGCCAGCATGCCTCCTAGTGGACAGTATTCGACATTTCATTTCACAAAGGTTGAGCCATATTAATAGACAGACAGGGTTCCTCGCTTACTTGCTAATCTTTGAAGGAGGTTCCCGTTACAAGAGAATACACGCGCATTACCTTTACCTGCTGAAGCACAGATGGCGCAATGAAGCCATCTCTTCAGGATGCTGTGGCTGAGTGAATCAGTTACTGTTCTCGTCCCCTGGGGTTCTGCCCCGGGCCTCGGGGCTACGCACTTCGTGTTTCCCATTCCAGCAGCCCCACCACCTGCTAGTACTTTTAACTGCAGCCTCAAACTTGTGAAACTGCTGGCGAACCTCACTACACACTAGTGTGTCCTATGAGGGGAGATCTCAATGACTTTTTTGGCTGTCAAGGATATGACAATCAGCGAAGTGTGGAGAAGGTCATTCTTTGATTAGAAAGCCCTGAGGACACACAATGATTTGTTTATTGTTTGTTAGAGTTTCTAAAGATAAGCCTTCATCATATAGCCCGGCTAGCTCCGTCGGTAAAAAATTGTATATATTTAATTATTATATTAATGTAAATGTGAATAGACATGTTAACTTTTCACAGATTTGCCACTAGAGACCACCTGATTAAGGAAATGTGTATGGTTATCAAGTTGACCAGGGGTGGACTGTAGTGGATTGGTAACTAGTGATCAACTTATAACCCCCAGCTGAACTGAGTCAGCGTGGTGCTGGGTGTGGGAGGCCCACCTGAGGATAGTTGCCAGCACCATAAGAGGCAGAACTGGAGGAGGATAATCCTTTAATTACTAAAAGGTTTGGTATCCGCCCATTTGTACTAGCTACGCTCTTGGTTCTCGCTCAATAAAAGGTGACTGAGATTGGTAACAGGGGCTGCAGCCCGAGAGGCTGTAAGTGCCCTGATCCCAGACTTTTGCCTCTCTTGTTGTTCTTGTCTCTTACTTTCTTTTCATCCACGGTCACCTTGTTCTCGAGACCTGTTACCCTGAATAGAATGAAAGTGAAGGATAATCCACCTGCTTTGTGGGATCCATTTTAAGCAGGTCATTGTTTTACTATTTAGCATTCAGTGTCTATTATCATTTCATCTGTCTCTCTCTTTAAAAAAAGAAAAAACCCACACTTGTAATTTCTTGGAAATAAAACATAAATAGCTGTTTCAATAAAAATAGCTGCGATTGTGGCCAGCATGTTCCACATAATCCACACTCCTTGGGGTTTCAATGAGGTTCTTTCTTAGAAGAAAATGTTGTCCTCGTCCTTCTGTGGCTCACAATCACACATTTCCCAGCACCTGTCAAAGCAGACAGGACCAGCAAAGGACCTTCTCTCTGCAGAGGTCTGAGGAAGCGCTCGCTTTGACTGTAATTATATTAACAGGGTATCAGGACAGCAATTTACACATGACCCTAAGAGTCTGCCTTTCTTGTTGCTTTAATTACTTGGGACTGTGACTGGCCTCTGTTCTGTTAGGCTGAGAGATACTCAGGTAAACTATGGAGAGTGTTTTTTCACCCACAGGCTTAACAACAAATGCCACACGTTTAGTGTATAGCTTAAAAGGCAAGCAATGTACAAATACACGGATGGGGAGAACGAAGGGAAAGCTGGGGCAAAGTAGCTGGTGCTTCACACCCCATTTATCCTCCACAGGAGAAAAGGCTCATTTATACCTCAGATAAACATGCTGGAAAGACCTCATAAAAAATAAAGGGACCACTAGTAAAACCTAATAGGCATTTTTACTTGGGTAAATATATTTAAGAACACTTTGTAACTTTTCAAAGGCAGATGTCAGAAAGAATGTAACAAGGACTGTGACAACGGTCACAGACTGTTCAGAATGCTAGACAGTTTGCACATGAGATTGGGGAATACAGGGCATGATCAAAAATATGGTGAATGCTTCTATTTTAGAAATTACTCTAAAGGACAGATTGCCATTAATTCCCTTTGAAATATTTCCCCTCCCTTCAAACCCACGGATTCCATCATTCTTGCCACTTTCTGAAACTGCTGGAAGCCCTCTTCATTGTCTTTAGTTACAGTGTTGTGGCTGCCTGATGTCCTGGAAAGATTCAAAATGTTTACCTTTCGTGGTCACTGTGCCTTTGGGGAAGAGCCAGAAGCTGCACAGCGCCAGATCTGGTGAGCAAGGCGGATAAGGATGCACCATGATATTGTACAAGCCTGCCTTCCTGTTGGATGGCGCCCAGCAGCAGCATTCATACTACGTATCAGACTTCATAAAGACACGAAATTGCTTCAGAAAGTGGCGAGAACAATGAGACAGTGTGTTTGAAGGGAGGGCAAGTATTCTGGGGGGGTAATGGCGATGTGTCTTTTAAAACATTTTTAAAAAATTCATATGTTCACTGTATACTTTGAGCACACCTTGTATTATAAAGCTTACTTTGGCCATGGATATAACTCAGTGGCACAAGTGTCTGCCCTGAAACTGCAAGGTCTTGATTCCCAGTACAAAAAAAAAAAAAAATAAAAAAAAAAAGTTTGCTTTGATTCAACTCTTGGGAAGATGAGAAAAAAAAAGTTTTTTGGGTTGTTTTTTTTTTTTGTCTTTTTTTGAGACAGGGTCTCACTCTGCAGTTCAGGCTAGCCTTGAGCTCATTTTGTAGCCCAAGGCTGATGTTGAACTTGCAATGATCCTCCTGCCTCAGCCTCCCGAGTGCTGGGATTGCAGGCATGCGCCACCACGCCCAGCTAAAAAAAAGTTACTGTCTGTATACCAAAAGACAGCAAAAATGAAAACCAGAGCCTACAGCAGAAGTTCTCTGCTGTTGGGAGTATAATTACTTCCTTGTTTGCCTTTTGGGATTCTGGATACTATTTCAAGGTTCTCCAAAGAAACATTTTCTAGGAGAATTAGCTCCCAAGAAAGAGCTCTGAGACATTTTTAACTTGAAAAAGACAGAACGTACATACTGCTTTACAACTGTTGGCGATCAGACTCGCAGTCTTCTTGAAGGTCTTTTCAAGGTAGTGGGCGAATCGCTCATTCTCATCTTCTTTGGATCCTAACTGAAGAAACTCACCTATAAAGAAGGAAAGGGATCACTTGAGAAAAGGCTTTGCTGCCTGGCTAAATACAAGGAGTAAGAGGGAAAGGGAAAGGAAAAGAAGGGAAAGGGAAAGGGAAAGGGAAAGGGAAAGGGAAAGGGAAAGTCAAGTCAGAATCAACCTACCACGCACCAAATCTTCAATAACTTGGGTTAAAATAGATATAATAGTAGTGTTTCCAATTCGTGCCAGAGCTATAGATGCTGCAGAAAGAATGAAATCTCCAGCGAGAACAGCCTAAAAACAAACAAACAAACAAACCCTTTCAGACCAAAAAGTCAGAGCACTGGACCAACGATGAAACTGACTTGTCAGAAGATAAACACAGATTGGCAAGAGGTGTCACCTCGGATGTGTTTCGCCCGTCCCCTTCCTCAGCGGGATTATAGAGTCAGGTAGATGTGGGCTGAAGTACACTGGATAGACCAGCTACCTGTCCCCCAGTTCATCGGCCAGGCAGCTCACTCTGTCGCTCATCCCTCTGCACTGCCAAAGTGTGCCTTCGGGTTAGCTGCACTGGACCACTCACCTTCCCTCAAACCCTATCACCGTACCTTTCCACCTGCTCTTCCTTCTGCTCGAAAAAGCCTTCTCAGGCCGAGGCCAGAGCTCAGTGGCAGAAAGCTTCCATGTGTGAGGCACGCAGGGTTTCACTCTCAACACCAGAACAAGTCCTCCTCTGCACTTCAGAGGTTCAGTTTGCACAATGAGTTCAGATGCCACCTCGGGAAAGCCTCCCCTGATCTGGCGGCCTGACCAGATGCACTCCTCTGAGTGCGTACAACACTGCACGCACACTACTGTTACAGTTCGTGTCCCAGTCAGTGACGCGGCTTACCGCTCCCCTGGAGGGCAAGAACCAGGGTCGATCCCCGCTTAGCTGCACCCAGCACATCCCAGTTCACAGGGTAACACACTTTTTTTTCAATGCAAATTAAACTAACGAAATTCTGCTCCAAGGTCAGTACTCTGCACTGTCTCACTGTCCTCTTTTGGGCAGTGCTGGAGATCCAAAGAAGGGCTTCCCACCTGTCATCCAGGTATTCCACCACTGTGCTACTGACCCAGCAGAACAAAATATTTTTCTCAGTCATCATTAGATTGTGAGATGTCCTGAATGTATTAGCAAATAAGTATAAATTACGCACAGTTGGATTATGTGCTATCATCAAATACCATATCTATGCACCCATATTAATTTGCATATTTAAAAATAAATGGTAAAGTTCATAGAAATTCTAATTAACATACCACTTTAGGTATTTATTGTCTGTTCTCTGTGGGGTTTGTAAAATAATGACGTCCAGTTTATATATATATATCTATCATTTTCTATAAAATACATATTCTATGTTAGTTCCATACAAATATTCACTTATGAAACCTTTTCATACCTACAGTATACATGTACACATTTACACCCATCCATCTGCTGCTTGTATCACTGGCAGCTCAAAGCCTTCAGTTCTTCCCCCGCCCTGGGAATCCTTGAGGCCAAAAGCTTTTCACAGAGGAAGCCAGAGCCACAGACTAGAAGGCTGGGTGTGAAGGTCAGGCCAGGAGCGACTGGGAACTGCAGGTGGTAGCAGCAAGAGCTCCTGCAGCAGCCGTCCTGTGCACGCACAGCGCTGTGCAGCAGGACCCAGTAGCTGTGCTACAGAGGCAGGAAAAGGGAGGAGGCCGGCACTCACTCGCGCTGGGCAGAGCACTCGGGCCGAAGGCGGCAGGTAATTCGGGTGATGCCGCTCTTCACCTGTGATCAGAAAGAGGCCACAGCAGCAGAGCAAGGCACACAAAAGCCCTGGTTACGACCATATTTTCTTTTCTATCCCATTTCCCCTGCCCAAGGGCTCAGATTAAAGCTTCAGCACTGGCCCTGGCACAGGTGACGGCAGCAATGAGTCCTAACCTTTCCCACGTGTACTCCAAACCAAAATGCCATCCCTTTGGCTAGCACTGATACAGAGTTTCCTCGAGTAGACATAAAACTTTTTATTTAAATTTTCAAGTAAGAGGCATATTCATGAAATTGGAGGACTCCACTTTACAACAAAGCCACTGACAGAGCAAAAGTAGTATGTGAAGATAAAGGCAAACAGGAGGGAAGCAGGTTATGGCTTGCGTCTAGATGTCCCTGAAAGCCTCATGCGCTCACAGGCGGGGCATTTTGGAGGTGGCGGGATCTCGGGTGTGTGCTGCTGGGACTGACTCATTGGGATGTTTGCATTAAGCCTGCCCCACCCTGGGTGTGTCTGCTACCTTAGGGTGGGAGCCCGGAGAGGATATAATAGACAGAAAGAGGATCCCTGCATGGGGCTTGCTGCTGCTCCTGCTTGTCTTCTGCTGCCTCTTGCCTGCCCTGAGACACCTGTCTGCCACGCCACCTTGTCTTGGAGCCAGCAGATTATGGACTGAAAACCTTTACAAACTAAGCCAAAAACAAATCTTTCCTCCTTTAACTTTAGGGCTAGGGATGTAGCTCAGCAGCACAGTGCCTACCTGGCAAGCGCAAGGTCCTGAGTTCAATTCTTGGTACTAAAAACGAACAACTTTAGGTGTTGGGTATTTTGTCTCAGCAATGAGAAAAGTAACTAAGATGCAGGTACTATAAACACACAGAGGAGAAGGTGAAAGGCTGAACTGTGTTTACAGAAATTTTGTTGGCTTTCCACCTGGGCAGACGGCAAGTGGAAGCAGGTGTGGGGGTGGAAACCGGCCCTCAAAGGGCCTACGCCCCCTTTCTCGTTTGGTCCATCTGCCACTTTATTCCCAGTCTTTCCCCCATCATTCATACCTCCTCAAACAAAAGTCTCCACTTTGCATACTTCCAGGAATTCTAAAATAATACAGAGATATACTTTATCATTCTTCTATTTAAAAAGGTAATATTTTCATAGTAAGACAGTGTCTCTCTGAAATTATTTCTTCTTTTTCTCTTTAGCATTATTTGGCTTGACACTCTTCTACCAGGTAAGCAATCAGTAAATATTTAAGGAATTAAATTCAATCTGGGTAATCTGAGCCCACAAGTAAAATGTGGAATTACTCAGAAGATACTCTTTCTGGAGGCCCATGAAATTCCTTTTCTTATAACCAAAAGAAATACTACACAAAATGGTGAATAACCAGAAATAATAAGTTCATTGTTTTTCCTATTGTAATTTGTCTTGTCTATCAGATGCCATATACAGAGACATGATGGCTATTTTAAAATTTGGAAAACCAGAGTTGAGCAAGGATATTTTACTTTTTAATGGGACAAACCTGAAAAACATACAATACAGTGCGTCCCTGAATTATGGACAGTGAAGCTGCAAACTGTTTCACAGGCAGGCACAGACCTTGCATTACGGACATGCACAGATGCAAACAAATCCTGGAAGCAGCTCACCCGTCTGCTGGACTTCGCCGCAGCTCTGCTTGTGTGCTCACTGTACAGGGACGGTGTGCCGTGGTACAGTGCAGGCAGGACTGTGGATGTGTGTGTGTGATGTGTGTGCGTTTATGTTTTACACTGTATATTTGTTTTCAAGGTGTGTAAGATGCACTTTGGTGGCCTCACCAATGAATCTAGTTTATGAGTGTTCTCCCTGAACGGAACTCGTTAAGTCAGGGACTTAGTGTATGAAAAGCATGTGATTTGATAAGATTTTTAAAACACCCCAAAGAAGAAAAGCAACTGTACCTTCTTTTCACCCCAGATCTTATTAACTGTGTGTTTTCCTCTTCGAGAACTTGCATCATCAATGACGTCGTCATGAACCAGGGTAGCAGTGTGGATCATTTCTGCAATTAAGGCTATGGAGCGCTGGCTGGCTTTCACGTCTCTAGTTAACAGAAAGCAACGCTTTTAACAGAGACGTGGCCTACAACCTTCTCAGCAATCATCTTGTGCAAACTGGACATCCGATCTAGGATAAAGAATTTTATTTCTCTAAGAGAAACTGCATCAAAACTTTGGCTTCCCTACAGAGCCATTTCTATCACTCGGAGAACATTTTAAAAATGCACAAGAGACCCTGCCCAGTGTCTGTGGGCTCCACATTAAGAAGCAGAATTTGCATAGCTAATGAGAAAAGGACAAAACTTCAGACATCTGGACATTGGGCTGAAAAATCATATTCATGTCTTATAGTACTGGCCTTGGCCAGGAATACAGGGTCACAATCAGGTTACAATTAAATTTCAGGGTAGCACGGTGGAGATAAATGAGAAACAGTTTAAAAAGATCTGTCACAAGCTCAGCAGCACAGTGCCTTCCTAGAGCAAGCACAAGGTCCTCAATTCAATTCCCGGCACAGGGAAGAAAAAAAAAAAAAAAAAAAATCTATCACCATGTTGAAAGTTTTTAATACTGTCTTAAAAGTTTACGGGGCTGGGGATTTAGCTCAGCAGCACAGCGCCTGCCTCGTGAGTTTGATTGCTGGTACCAGAAGAAAAAACAAAAACAAAAGAAACAAACAAACAAAAATCCATAATTTAAGGGGCTGAGGATTTAGCTCAGCGGCACAGCGCCTGCCTGGCAAGTGCAAGGTCGTGAGTTTGATTGCCGGTAATGGAAAAAAAATAAAAAACAAAAACAAAAGTTTAATATGACATTAATAAACAAGGTAGGATGGTTTCTTCCCACTTTGTATTAGAAATCTACATTTTTTTTGGTCTTTTTGAGACAGGGTCTCGCTATGCAGTTCAGACTGGCCTTGAGCTCACTATGTTGCCCAGGCTGGTCTTGAACTCGCAATAATCCTCCTGCCTCAGCCTCCCAAGTGCTGGGATTACAGGTGTGCGCCACCATGCCTGGCTGAAATCTACATTTTTATTTCCCAAGTTTCACACAAATTATAGGATAAGCACTCTCAAATTTCTTTTTCTTTTTTAAAGAGATGGGAATCTCACTACTTTGCCCAGGCCAGCTGTGAACTCTTCCTACCTCGGTCTCCTGAGCAGCCAGGACTGCAAGGGTGCACTACCACACCTGGCTCCAGTGTCTTTCCAGTGATAGTCATTACCACTATCATCATCGATGAGGAACTTCAAATACTGAGTTTCAGTAAGATCAAACCAGAAAAACAGCCAACTAAATTCTCTGAACCTAAGACACGTGCCTGACATATGAATCAAAATGGTTCAGTTATTCCAATTGCTTGGTTTTCAAATATCATCCGGGTGTATTTTTAAAAGGGAGCGATATATTGAAATGACTTTTTCTTTAGAAATCGAATCTCAACATCTATCTGCACAAAGGTAGTGCTCATCTTAACTCCTCAGAGGCAGCAGAAAGTAATGAAGAACGATGCCCACAGCTACATCCAAGACACAGGAACCTGTGGCCATGTGTCTCGCCGCTTCTTCTCACCTCAGGTCTTAGAACTAAACCCCAGAACCTTCACTCTTTTCAGCCTGGAAATCAATTATAAAGCACTGCTTACTATCTATTTATATTTCACAAGTCACGAGATAACAGTTCCTAATACTGCCAGACTCTTCTAAGGAGGAGGAGGAAGAACAAAAGCACGGAAGATGGAGAAAAACCACACTAGCATCACTTCAGAGGGGCAGGGGCGCTCAGCATGTATGAAGCCCTGGGTTCAATTCCCAGCTCCAAAACAAAACAAAAAAACTGAAAGACCCCAGCAACAAACCACTTAAAGAGGTTTCAATGGCTTTTAGGCGCTTGCTGACCCTTCAGGCCTTCCACGTTAGGTAAGTTTCCATATTTTTCAGGTAAATTTACTAGGCCCTCTCTTGTTTGAGCTGAATGTGCAGGAAAAGGTACAGACTTTTGCGTCTGACTTTTAAATATAAAGGCTATTTTTCAGAATATTTTTTCAAAGAAATTTCATCCTAATTATATATACACTCTTACTAACTAGTACTTAGTAACTAGTAGCAGAACTTATCTTAAAAAAAAGTTATGTCAGTAGGCAGGTGTACAAGCTGCGAGTATTGCTGTGAACTGGCAGTAGAGGGTTTTTTTGGTTTTGTTTTATAATTTGACAGTATTTGGAATTTCAGACTATATGTGTATACATAAAAATGTTACTTTGATGGCTAAATTACTGCCTGATGAAATCAGGATTCTTGCTTAGGCTATTTGATGCTGTGACACAACATCCATACAGATTACACAACCAGACCTTACATGCCGTATAATCTTACCTGATGCAATTCTATGTGTGTCAGCTCTGTAAAATACTGCCACTGTTTAGCCTTATTGCAGTGTCATGGTGGGAGAGATGTTATATCAAGTAAACAATGCCCTGAAACATTCCCAAAGTTCTTAGAGGTGTGTTGAGCCTATCCCATGAAACTGTGCAGGGGAATACACTGGGTACGCTCTCCCTGCTTGCTTACACACAGCAATGCACACATTCCAATCCATTCACTCATACGTGCATTTGACCAAGAGGAGCGAGTGCATTTCCACTCTTCCCTGAACATCGCAGAATGTTATATCAAGAAGTTATATCAAGTAAAAGCCTGCTATTTTTGTGGGGAAAAAAAAAAAAAAAGATGAAATCATTAAAGTGCCAAACTGAGTGACGCCTTAGCAAAGCTGGGCACCATGCCTACTTCCTGCTGGGAAACTGCTGTCACACTCCAACTCCTTGGAGAGGTGACAGTCAGCAGCCTGAGAAAAAGAGGCCCTTCGTTTTAAAAGGTAGCCATGGCTGGGAGTAGTGGGCAGGAAGATTGCCAAGTTCAAGCCCAAGCTAGGCAATCTACAACTTAGCAAAATCTTGTCTCAAACAAATAGGCTGGGCTGTAGCTCAGCAGGAAGGCCCTGGGTTCAATCCCCAGTCCCATAAAGAAATAAAAATTTAAAAGTAAGACTAAAAAATAAAACAGATCCTTGACATAAATCTGTAATATGAGAGCCTAGGAAGGTGAAGGTTTTGATGAGCAGATGCTCACGCATCTCGCTGGTAGGTTCCAGCTCAAGCTCAGAAGAAGAACATGTCCGCCGGGCTGTGGATGTGGTCTCTGCCCCTTCTTCCAGCCTCCATCACACCAGGAAATAGCAGAGAAGTGCAAAGAAGTCAGCTTCTCCCCTCGCACTTCCTGTGACCGATTTGAAAACAACAATGCTGTACTCTCCTGGAGTCCCGGGGCCCTGGGCAGCAGGCCTCACACAGACCTGGATAGGCTGAAAACCCGGATGTCACCACTAAGGCCATGTGCCATGTCCCCAAGTTCAGAAGCTGCGCTGGAGTTTCTTTGGCAGTAAGAGAATAAACCACAGCATGAAGCCTGCATCAAATACAGTGCCACCTCACAGGCACCCGTTTATCTGGAGATAAATCTGAAAACTGTTTAGAAGTTAGTTTCAGGAGATCAGTTCTTTGCCCTTGATGTGAAGACTGCTGCGGAATCTGAGTCTTATGATTGAGCCTTTAAAGAACTGCCCTGTCCACAACAGAGGGAAAGGCTTTCCTGTGAGCCTGATGCCAGTTTAGGTTTATGAAGGAGAACGGCACCAATCAAGAATAATGGTGCAGAGTCTGTACTCGCCGTTCCCTCCTGCACCCTGTGCCCGTCGCACAAGTACCTGATGCCAGTAGCACCTCTCACACTGGAGTTTATTTGTAATTTGTTTCAGGCCTCACATTAGGTAGCAGTATGAAGAAAATGGTTTTTTAAAGTCATAGAGAAGCCAGCCATGGTGGCACACAGCTATAGTCCCAGCTGTTCAGGAGGCTGAGACAGGAGGATCACTTGAGGCCAGGAGTTCAAGGTCAGCCTGGGTAACACTGCAGTAGTTGGCTCAATGATTTGGAATACACAGAAACCACAAACAGTTTCAGAACATGAGCAGCCTGACATTGGTCATTATTCAAGTGAGCTGTCTGGAATGGGTGCTTTGTTAGTCTTCCTAGGGTTTGGCCTTTGTAATCTCCTTTGTTTTTACAACAACTATTAAATGTTACTTCCTTTTTAATCACAGCTGGGACCTTGACCTGTAATCGAATGTGACAACTGCATCCTGGAATCTGACCATCTGTCACCTAGCCCAGCTTTGATAAGTTCGCCAGCGGGATCCTGTGTCACTCAACCGTTGCACAATGGCATTCTGTGCACCACACAATTTAAGCAGTGCTGTTATACGGGTTGCAGGCGATAGTATCCATTTTCTAGTGCTGAAGTTTCCTGCAGGAACAGATGGTGTCAAGTTCCATGATCACGGTGGGCTGCTGAGGACAGACCTGGGAGAAGCGCTGCATACAGATGCCCCAGCTGTCCCGTGTTCAATGAGTAGGGTAATTTCATAGAAATCTATTTATTAGAAAGCCCCCACACCCCCATGAGGTTTGTGCATGTTGACTAGGCTGGTGTCAAACTCCTGCTACAGCCTTTTTGACCGGATTTATTGATACTATTACTCCTGACCTACAGTTAAACTTCAAATTTTGCTGACCTCTACTGCAAGTTAGGCTCTCCGGAAAGCAGACTGTGAGGTGGAGTCTAAGGTGCAGCATGTTTACTGAGGCGCGCTCTTGGGATCAACACCCAAGGGAGGGACGACAGAGATGGAGTGCACTGCAGACCCATCAACCGCCTCAGACTGCACAGGGGCCCTGCCGCCGTCGGCCCCTGGACACAGGCTGTCTGGTGCAGAGGCACGGCTGGGGAGAGGCGCTCCTTGCTGGTGCCAAGTCCTTTTTGAAGGGGGTCCAGGAGTGTGTCTTGGAATCCACAAGTCTGTTTCCTGGGCAGTGCAAGCCTGCGAGGTCTGTTGTATGCATCCCTAGTACTTTACCCGCTCAGGTATGGCAGCTATCAGCATATACGGAGAATATACCGACTGAGGCATAAGCCTTTCAGGGCCAAATTACCCTTTGAGAGCAGACTGTCAGCCATACTCCTCCCTAGAAAAATGCAAATACACAAAAATTTTGCACACAGTTTCAAGGAGTTCACAGACTCCCATAGCTTCCGTGGGTCTTAGGTTAGAACTCCCAGTCAAATAATTTAGCAGAGAATATTTAAGGTCCGACTGAAAAGCTTTCTGTAGGAAAAGGAGAAAAATCAATAAAAAGGTAGTTTCCTCCTCTTATGCTATTACAATATTTGTTCTACTGTTTTCTAAAATCATTTCCATATTAAGCTACAAGTATTTAATATACACCGTGGAAGCCAGACAACGAGATCTGATGAACCTCCCAAGACTCAGCTCTGATTACTACAGGATAAAGAAGAAGCAGGTACATACAGACAAGAACAAGCGTGGGCCACCAGGGTGAGAAGGTACCCTGGGGGTCCAGCTCAGACAAGGCACTGTGTGGTCCTGCTCCACAGTCTTTAGTTATGGTCTGTTCAGTGTTCCAAGCCCTGCTTGGCAGATAAAATCACAAATGGCCCAGCCATTCAGGAACCCATTGCCCCTTCCTGCTTTAAGTGGCATGGAGGCTGCAGCTAGGCACTTAGCTCATCAGGGCCTGATCCGACAGTGTCCTTGGCAAGCAAGAGCTCTCAGCAGTCGAGGCCTGCATGCAGGGACATTTGGCAGTGTCCAGAGACACTTTCAGTTGCTATCAACTAGGGCTAGCTAGTGGGTAGAACCCAGAGGTGGTAGGAAATATTCTACCACGTGTAAGACAGTTCCCTACCATCCACACAGAGAGCTCTGGTTGCAAACATCAGAAGTGCTAAAGCTGAGGAGCTGCTCCAGACTGCAGGAACTGGATTTCAAACTGGCTCAGAAGGGCCACTTCTGTCCTCTTCCTTCAAGGCATACAACATGGATGGACAACAGCTAAACGGTAATGGCCAAAGATTTCACAGCAGGCTTGACACACAAGCCTAGGTTGAGCAGAAGGCAACCCCAAGCACAGGGTGATGTGCTGGACACAGACGGGCACAGCTGCAGAGCACCAAGGCGGTGGGCTCAGGCGCTGTTTGCTGAGACTTGTCTTACAGCGATCATTACATTTACTGCTGACAAATCTCAGGCGCTCCTTAAAAGTTCTACTGGGAAAAGAAATACACGAACATTCAACAGTAGGTTAAGTAGATCAGTACATCACACTCTGCTGGAATTTCACCACCACACAAAGTAATTATGAAAATATTTTCGCAATGTGGAAGTCTTTTAAAAATAATGGTAAGTAAAGCAGAACACAAAGGCATATACCAGTCTGCTGAAGGGCTGAATCCAAGAACAGAGTGGAAGAGGCTGCGGAAGGCAACAGGGAGATCTTCTCCCCTTTTAAGATTCACTTAATGGTAAAGGTGCAGCTGTTTTAACTTTTATAGATACTTGAAACATACAATTTGCAGAGTCAAAATGTCTTCTCTCAGACACGATTCTGAAGGTTACCGGAAGGCAGGCAACCCCGGGTGTGGGCGCTCACTGCCCAACGGTACAGGTTAACTTTAGAACAGTCAACCTTTGGACATGTGTATAATTATTAAAAGTATGTTCATCTTTCAATTCCTTCCTCATGAGAAAAATTAATCTGGCATTAAGGTTTTTCTTTTTTCTAAAATGTTTCTTTGTAACTGAAGTCATTCATTAAAGGATGTTTAAAAAGCCTACAGACTAGAATCAGCAGTGAAGTTAGCAGCTCAAAGTCAGAATTTACACATCACAAAGTGAATTCTTAGGTGTTACTTCCTAAGAGGGAAACAAAAGAGTAATCTTGCAAAGGAAGACTTTCTAAATACAGAAAGCCAACAGAGTTGGACACACATCTGTAATCCTCACTACTTGGGAGGCTGAGGCAGGAAGACTGAAAAGTTCAAGGCTAGGCTGGGCAACTTAGTGAGACCTTGTCTCAAAATAAAATTTAAAAAGAGCTGAAGATATAGCTCTGCCAGCCACACGCAAAGGCGTGGGTTTGATCCCCAGTACCACCAGGTGGGTAGGGGAGTGCGTGTGTAAAAGTTAGTTACTCACCGGGAGTTATTATGATGAATGTTACATGCTCGGGCCATTAGCACCACAATAATTGGTCGAAAGGCTTTTCCTTTTCCATCGAAGTAGTACTCGGACATTTCCTTAAGTTCCGTTGTAGATATGAACAATTCCTAAAACAAAGTTCAGTGAGACCATCCTAAGTATACAGTGTCAGGATCTGTTTTGTAAAGCTTTGGTTTAATTTCAATGTGTCCATTTCAATTAAGAAATCAAACACTAAATTGGACAAGGCTCCAGTATCGTCTGGCCGCAAAGCTGGCTGCACAAACAATGTCTGGCTCCCTTTTCCCACAGTCCTCAGGGCTAGAACAGGTACTGCCACCTGCCCCACAGACGGCAGCAGGTGGTCAATGGCTCCGACACACAGCAGGAGGCGGGAGAAAGCCCCTGGTGGGCCAGGAACGCTGGGCTAGTGACAGCTTGACTAGGGGCAGCGTGGAAGATGGAATCGAGAGGGGAAAGGAACTGTGGGAGTCCACAAAGCAGGCTGGGGGTGTCCTGCATCCGCAGGCAAAGCTGCGCACCTGGGGCAGGAAGACAGGCTGGACGTGGAGAAGAAATAGGGCTCTAAAGTCTGGCCGGGCCTCTCTTTAGCAGTGAGCATTCTGCAGGTTCACAGAAGAAGCGCAAAACACGGTTTGTCTAAGTGCAAGGAGTTCACCAGCACTGAATCCGGGAGACAAACACTGTAGGAATGTACACTATTCAATGTATAATACAGTAGTGCCCGGTATTCCCAACACAGTAACAACGATAAATACATCAGAAGCTCAGAGAAAGACAATATCAGTGCAGTCGAGAACACCTGTTTCATGGGGGAAATGAGCTTTGACATGACGAGGAGTAGCAGGGCTCTGCTTTGTGAGAGGGAGGCCCTTCCATGGGTGCGTGCTGGTCCTGCCTACCTCTCAAGGACATCCTGGACCCTTCTTTCCCGGTAACAGTCAGGGAGCAAGGAATGGTGCCCCAGAGAGGTTCAGGGCCACAGGATATGGGGGAGCCCATCACAATTTCCCTGGGTTACTCAGTGCCAAGCACTGTGATAAAGGCAGTAGTCATAAAGACGAGGACAACAACCTTTGCCACGTGGAGCCCAGGGCCTGGACGGGGAAGTAAACCAGTAACTGCAGTTCGCACAACACCGGATGACGGGTCCTCTCACCCAGGAGAGCGCGTGACCCCGGGAGCTCAAAGGCCAGGGCCTGACCTGGAACAGTGCAAATGGAAGGCAAGACATGGAACAGAAGAACACGGCAGAAAGGACAACCCGAGCGCCCTTCCTGTGCGGCACCTTTAATGCTCAGGGACACACATTTTTGTAGGGGTAAAAAGAAGAGTTAGAGCTGTAAGAGCTGTCCAGAAGCAGTTACCCATACAGCGCAGAGAAGACAATTCAATCTGGAGTAGAGGTGTATTATTTGGGAGTCTTAGGTACGGAAATGGATACCCAGAGTGTACAGAAAGGATGGGCCCACAGAATCGCAGGCAATGGCAAGATGAAAGGGAGTGGGTGGGGTGGAGGAGACAAAGAACAACCCACGAATAAACTGAGGGACAGTCTAAGGATTAAGTAAGTAAGAGAGTATGGAACCCAAGGGAACAGGTTTCTTTGTTTCCTTCTTATGGGTAGGGAAGGAAGGTCAACAGCGTCCACTGCTCAAAAAAGGTCAAAGGAGATGAGAACAGAACATTTCGTTTAGCAGGCGGATGCTAAGGATGCTAATGGTACAATGGGCAGAAGCCGTTTCCGAGGTGGGAGAAGAAGCCACATGACCACGGAGGAATGAACGAGAAGGGGCGAGGCTGAGACAGAGGCCAGAGCGCGCCGTGTGCGATGCAAGGGAGGGCGGGCGCTGGGGCTGGCGCAGGCCTGCAGAAGCGCAGACGACAGGTGCCGTGCAGCACCTCTGTAATCCCAGCCTCTGAAGGCTGCCACAGTGGACCTCAGCTTTGAGCTCGGCCTGGGCAAAGTAGCAAGATCCTATCTCAAAAATAAAACAGGGCTTGGGGTACAGCTCGGTGCTGAGGAGCTCAGCTCCACCCCCAATACCAGAAAAAGAAGGAACAGAAGGACGGAAGGACAGACAGACATATGGACTGCAGTACCTCAGAGGGGTAACAGACACTGACAGGAGGCTGCAGACGAAACAGAGGAGCAGGTGATTCCTGGTGGTTCCTGAGGAACCAAACTGCGCAGGGGCAAAGGGGATGGGACTTTACAGAGGCAGGGGTAAGGGAGCGACCAGCAGCAGAGAAAGTGCCACAGAGCAGGCGCTGAGGGACCTCTCCCTCTGCGGCCTTCGCGTGCTTGTTAAAGGAGGGCATGTGGGCTGTGGCCAGTGCTCAGGGCTAGCGTGCTCGTCTAGTACGTGTGAGGCCGACTTCCAGCCCCAGCACCGCAAAAGGAGTGTGAAAGCTTGTGGGCCGATGAGGGGGGAAGGAAGCGCACAGACATTTCTGACCAAGGTTGTATTTGCATTTATTTTTAATGTTCTGCTGTGGAACCCGCTTCGGTGCCAGGAGCCTATGGACAGAGGCCAGGCAATGGTTCGGAGTCACGGTTTGCTCTGGCACAGGACACAGTGAGAGGCCTACAGGGACGGGCCTGCCATAAATCCAAACCCATGCATTGGACTGCATTTTAGAAAACACATGAGATGGCGAACCACTAACGGTCTGAGTAAACGAGGCAAACAAGACAGTGATTTGGGGGTCTAGCAGTGACATTCAGAATTAGACAGTGGCAGGAGTCACGGGAAGGTGCTGGAGGTGAAGAGGAAAGGTTAAGTAACTCCTGGGACAACACCTACCACCGCACCAACTCTCAATTTCGCAATCACCTTGTTCTAGACAGTAACGTGTCTCGTCCTCCACACTGCCCAGCTCCAGCTTGTGCACGTTGTTGCTTAAGAAACATTCAAAACCTGAGCTATGCAAATCAATTGTACAGGGGACTGTACCTGTCTCAAAACCTGCCCTGCTTTCTTCCTAATTCTAAAATGTTACCACGATTCAGGCACTCAGATGTTCTGCTGCAGACTTACCTTTTTAATGTCTTCATATAGACCTTTCAAGTCTCTCCAGCCAAGTTTAAAAGGATCAGTGTATTTCTCACCACTCTGTATTTTACTATAACAGCACACCCCTGGGGTTGTGTGATGAAACCTGAGAGAATTGAGAAATGCAAATGAGAAAAGAAGAAAAACAGGGAAACAAAGCTTTTGTAAATGGGGAGGGGAAGAGGGATTGAAGAGCGGGGAGGGGAATGAGAAAAAAAAGTAGCAAGATATATCATGTACAGGTACAAATTCTCTATGATGAATGTGATCATTATGTACATCTCAAATGTACCAACAAAATCTGATTGAAAAAAAGTAAAACAAATCATCCAAGAGAAAAATAAAAAGAAAAATGCACATGACTCGTTTATTTTTTTAAATTTTTTTTTGTCCTTTTGAGACAGAGTCTCGCTATTCAGTTCAGGCTGGCCTTGAGCTCACTTTTTAGCCCAGGCTGGTTTCAAACTCGCAGTGATCCTCCTGCCTCAGCCTCCCAAGTGCTGGGATTACAGGCGTGCGCCACCAGGCCCCGCATGACTCCACTTTTAAAGAAGTATTACACACACAAACATGTAGTGCAGTTGGATGATGGAAAATTAAGCCCTAACACTTGTTGGAAATTAAACATAAATCAGAAAAAGTCTTTATAATTTAGAAAAACATAAAGAATTTTGTTCCTGCTAAATGATATGTTAACAGATCACTTTTATAAATATGACCTTGAGAACAGACCTTATCAAAGCAACACTAAACTATGTTGGTTGTGATCTGAGTTGAACTCAAACTCCTACATTTTGAAAAGTTCTTATTTACACATGTTAAATTTCTTCGCTTAGCCCATCACAATTAAGAATAGAAATTTACTGGCAACATGATCAATACTTTCAGCAGTTTTAATCAAAAACAGTTTACAGTCGTAAACTTACCGTGACAGACCATACACATTTCGAAAGACAGATGTTATGCTCTTCACAAGATTAAAATAGGACATCTATAAAATGAAAATATCAACAAACTTGTGAGAATATTTGTGAAAAACTTGTCCATAACATCAGACAAGAAAACTCCCATAATTCATAATAAACATGATCTTTTCATCACCCATTTAGAAGCAGGATCAAAAGTTTCCTTTCCTTACTATAAAAGCAACACTTTTCATTACAAAAAACATAAATAAGAAAAAAGAGAAAATTCAAAAATCTGTAGACCATCACTTCCCCAACAAAAGCCAGCTTCCGTATGCATAGCTACCTTTCCAGCCCTGAAAAATAGTTTAAAAGTCTTCTTCCACTTAACTGCGATGGGTCAGAGAACAGTAAGGGCTGCTATATTCTTCTTTTAAATTCTTTAAACAATTAAGATCGAAACTGGGTGTGGTGCCACAAACCTGTAACCTGAGCAGCCGGGAAGGCTGAGGCAGGAGGCTGGCAAGTTGAAGCCCAACCTAGGCAATTTGGCGACTTTTTGCCTCACAACAAAAAATAAAAAGGGTGGGGATGTGGGGGGAGGGACAAGGCAGGACAAAAGCATCACAAGGCCAGTGAGATTTCAATATTAAGCAAGAAATTTACATTTACACAAATAAGACCTACGTACTTCAGGTGTTTATTATTAAACATATTTGGAAGCAGTGCTTCTGGACAAGCAATGTTTAAAACAAAATAAAGCAAACAACCACAAACTCAGAGGCACATTTTGGTAATATTAACTTGATCAGAGATCAAAGATTGACAGTGATTACTTACTTAAGATTCATTTGGTAACAAGTTTGAATTCCAACTTTTTTTTATGGAACTGGAGATGGAATTGGTGGTCTTCACGCTGACCTACACCTCTACTTATTTTTATTTTGAGAGAAGGTGTTTTTGGGGTTTTTTTCTGTCTTTTTGAAACAGGGTCTCACCATGCAGTTTAGGCTGGTCTCAAAGTCACTTAGTAGCCCAGGGACGCCCAGTCTTTTGAATTCTCTAGGTGGGACCTGAACTCACAATCGTCCTATCTCAGCCTACCAGAGTGCTGGGATTATAGGCATGTGCCACCACATCCACCTTTAATTCCAACAATTATTGGGGTCCACTACTGTGGGGAAGAAATTGTGGCAAACCTTGGGGACCCAAAGATACAGACTGACTGACAGTGCTGAAGAATTCAAGAAAAAAAAAGGCATTTAAAAATTACTAGTCAAGGGCTGGGGATTTAGCTCAGCGGCACAGCGCCTGCCAGGCAAGCGTGAGGTTGTGAGTTTGATTCCTGGTACCGGAAAAAAAAAAATTAAAAAAAAAAAAAAACTACTAGTCAAATGTGGTAAGAAAGCATTTTGACCAAAAGGATGAATATAACACTAATAAAAAGTTTATCTGCCCTATATGTCAGTCTGGCATAGTGAGACCCTGTCTCAAAAAGACAAAAATAACCAAACAAAAAACAAAAAAAAAAAAACCCAAAGCAGTAACTCTGGAATAAATAGGGCTGTGTTTTTTGTTTTATTCCCTTTTTTGTTATATATTTTCAGATTTTTCTTTAATGAAATAGACTGCTTCAGGCAGATGCAAATGCCGGTAAATGTTGACTCTGCCACACTGTGGCCAAGGAAGACTGAGTTGTGTTCTTTCTACCATAGCGCACTCTATTAAACCAGTAGGAACATTTAGGATGCCCAAGCACATAGTATCTCAGAAAGCAAAGCAATAATCCTCCCTTTTGATTTTTATCTTCTTGTGACAACCTACTTTTCTTTTTTTCTTTTTGAAATGAGTTCTGGCTAAATCGCTCAAGATGGCATCGAACTTACTTACAATCCTTTTGCCTCAGCCTCATGAGTCACTGGGATTGCAGACGGGTACTACCACATTTGAGTGAACACTTGGTTCTTCTAGCTTTCCGTTCACACAAATCTAGTATTTTATTATAATCCTTATAAATTACGTCTTAATGGAAGAACAACTATTCAGTGTAACATCCTGTGGCATGCTCTACTGGGGTGAAATTTGAAAATTACATAGTTAATACAGGGCATTCTTTACCACCACGCAGGAGAGTTTTTGGAGGAGAGTTTGGTTCAAATCTCACTACTTTCATGTGCCAGGTTTGACACCTTTTTAATAATAACCACTCATACAGCGATGCTGAGATTAACTCAGGGGGTGCAGTTTATGTAACCTCATTGGCCCGGAGCCCAGCGCACCGCCTACTTACAACCAGCACACCCAGGGCCTGCAGCATCCCTGGGCAAGTGCGGCACACTGAGCCACACCCTGGCCCCTCAGCCTACATTTAAGACAGTATCTACTCAATCTAGGAGCAAGTGCTTCCAGAGGTCCTTAGGGCAAAGTTTCCCAAAGTGATGTTGGAGACTCTCCCAGGAGCACTTAAGTATTACGGGCACACAGCGAGAAACTAGCGCTGTAACGATCGGCTAGCGGCAACAATCATTATCCAATTCCAACTTTGTTTCCTCTTTCCATCACTCACGGCCCCTGACAACTCAACCATGCCTCTCATAAACTCACCTCTTAAAATAACAAAAAATGCTCAATTAGAGTCAAAGATCTACTGACGACTGACTTAGTACAGTCAAACGCACATCGCCCTTTAACCCCTTACAAGATTTGTTGTATACAAGTATCAGAAAATATGTATACAAGTATCAGAAAGTAGCAGAGCTGTGCTAGAGAGACAAACTTGCCTTATTGTTGCTCTTGGTCCCCAAGGACTACTGACTTGAAATCATGCCCAAGAGACCCCCAAGAGACTTGAAGTAACCAAAACACACAGGTCTGAAACTGAGACTCAAATGTTAACTGACAGTAACTCTATCCCTGGCACACCGTGCGGCAGGATCAGCCCCGCCCTTCTTGAAGTCCGGAGGCAGAGACTCCATAAAGCGGAGTCTCTCCAGACTTTTCCACGGCTGAGATTGCTTGACAGACACAAAATAAAAACTAAAAGAGAAAGGAATTATCAAAGGAAAGAACGATCTAGCGGCTTCACATGGTGGCTGCATCTATCTCTTCAAATACTTATCTGTGGAACTGGAAAAATCTGAAGCCTGGCTAGGACAGTATTGCTATGGATCCCGGTAAACCCTACCTCCTCCAGCTCTTCCCACAAGCCCTCCACCCTCCTTATAACTATTCTTTTTTTACTAAGTCTATTCTCTCTCCAAACTCTTTTTTTGCATGATAATTGTAATACACATCCACTTTGGCACAAAGCAGACATTTATAAATGCTACACATTTCATGCTGGCAAATGGATGAGTACACGGAGGGATTAAGTGTATCAAATCTGACTGAAATCGAAGAGTCCGAAATTCACATGGAGGGCACTTCACCGACGGAAAGTAAACAATCACAGCGTGATGGGAGCTGTCTCTAAAAATAAAAGTGAGCCCCCACATGCTGAACGGTTGAGAACAGCACGAGTCTACCCCGCGGTACACCGCGACCTCGTCACTGCAAAGGGAAGAAGGTCGCACAGGGCCATCATACCGCGTGCGTTCAGCAGCTGAACTGCTCGGAAACGGAGAAAAATTAAACTGGATCAAAGGCAGCATGGGGAGCCACGGTTAGTGCTCAGATTCTGAGCTGACTTGTAGAAGTCACAGGAGACTCTAAAGACGCCTGCCCGGTTTCTCTCCTGACGTCCCCAGCCGCATCCCTCCCGGTGCTCTTCCAGCCCCGTCCACGGGCGCCCCGGGCGCTCCGCTCCCGTCCACCCGCCAGCGTCGGGGGACCTGCCCAGACCCTTTCCTACGCCCCCTGCCAAGGGCCAGCGGAACCCTGTCCCGGAGAGCGAGCTCAGAGCGCCTGCTGCCCTAAGGTCTGTCCTCTGCAAGCCGGCTCTGCATCGAAGGAAACTGCGGCAGGGGCCTCCGAGATGTTCCTGCCAACGCCCCGGGGGTCACCCCGACCCTCCCGCGTCTCCTCGGTCTGCGGGACCCCGCTCTGCGCTTGCCTGCGGGAGGCCCTCCCAGCGGGACCCCCGTCGCCCCGTGCGTCCCGCCGGGGTCCCCGGCGCACGCGCTCCCGGCTCCCATTCATTCCGCCCGC